CCCACCATAAAGCATGGAGGAGGTTGTGTTATGGTGTGGGGGTGCTTTGCTGGTGACACTGTCTGTGATTTATTTAGAATTCAAGGCACACTTAACCAGCATGGCTACCACAGCATTCTGCAGTGATACGCCATCTCATCTGGTTTGGGCTCAGTGGGACTATCATTTGTTTTTCAACAGGACAATGACACAGCACACCTCCAGGCTATGTAAGGGCTATTTTACCAAGGAGAGTGATGGAGTGCTGCATCGGATGACCTGGCCTCCACAGTCCCCCGAACTCAACCCAATTGAGATGGTTTGGGATGAGTCGGACCATAGAGTGAAGGAAAAGCAGCCAACAAGTGCTCAGCATATGTGGGAACTTCTTCAAGACTGTTGGAAAAGCATTCCAGGTGAAGCTGGTTGAGAGAATGCCAAGAGTGTGCAAAGCTGTCATCAAGGCAAAGGGTGGCTATTTGAAGAATCTCAAATATAACATATATTTTTTGATTTAACACTTTTTTGGTTACTACTTGATTATTATTATTATTATTATTTCATAGTTTTGATGTCTTCACTATTATTCTACAATGTAGAAAATAGTAAAAATAAATAAAAACCCTGGAATGAGTAGGTGTTCAAACTCTTGACTGGTACTGTATTCGTTACATCTGCCTTTTAATTTGACCTGAGCCAACCTGTCATGCTCCATCAAACGTGGGAATCGGACACCTCAGACACACAGGCGGCTTTTGCTTTGCACTTTGCCGTCCCCCCTATTCCTTAACACATAGAGCCATGGGACCAGGGAGAAAGTCACCAGCATCGCATGAATCAACCACTGTGACAGGGGTCCGTTAGGTCGAAGGATCAGGACCACATCTCTCTTTTACTGCTCCTTCTCCCCATCTCTATTAGCAGAGGACAAGAAGGGAGGGATGGATTTCTAAAGGCATATATTTCCGTTGAACAGATAAATCAGATATTTTCTGGAGAGTGGAGAAGAGCACAGAAAGGGCCTTCTTGATGTCTCCCTTTGAGATGTAAATGGTACGGTGGCACTGAAAGAAGGGCAGGTGTCCACTGCTGAGAGAGGGAGTGCGTAACGGTGGGTGCATGGATTCCTAAACGATTAACTGTTGACATACCTCTAGCGAGTTTAGAGACCACGAGAGCAAGAGGCAATACAAAATGTGACTATTAACAAATCATTGTACTCTTTACCATGGTTTCGCAAGGCCCCATGCAACCAGCCAACCACCCATTATCAAACTGAAATTATGCACAATACAGTGTATTCAGTATCTTACTGTATTTCATCACTTTTGGTGCTCAGTGCCAAATTAAACAATGGCATACAAGTAATTCAAATACTGGTAATTGTTTAGTAATTTCAAAATATTGACTTGCATTTGTTCATTCATCCCACAAGAAAGAAGAATAGAAAGACCAAATTATTAATTCCTACTGATCTCAAGGAAAGAAATTACCTGTTGCTTGGAGACACATGTAGTCCACCTATCGCCTGACCGTCAGTGGGTTTATTGGGGGCGTAGAGGTAACAATTTGTGCTGAACAAGGGGAAGAGGTTTGGTATTCACTCCAATTATCTCACACTTCGAGGTGGGAAAGAGATGTTTGACCGTCAAAACGAATTAAGAAAAACAAAACCGTCTGTATAATTGTCAGGGTGGCAGACGTACCTTGGGATGACCTCACCTCGAGTAGGTTACATGTTGCAGAAATGAGGGAGGGTAAAAAGGGACAGATGTCAAATATTTCGTTAATTGGTTTAAGTGTTTGAGCGTTCTTTCAATAGACGAATAATCACAAATGTGGAAGACAAGTCTACAATGTGTGTACAAAACATTAGGAACACCTGCTCTATCCGTGACATTGTTGTCACTTGTTAAATCTACTGCAAATCAGTACAGATGAAGGGGAGGAGACAGTTTAAAGAAGGATTTTTAAGCCTCAATACAATTGAGACATGGATTGTCGATGTGTGCCATTCAGAGGGTGAATGGGCAAGACAACATTTTTGATTGGGGTATAGTAGTAGGTGCTAGGGACACCGGTTTGAGCGTGTCAAGAACTGCAACGCTGCCAGGTTTTTCATGCATAACAGTTTCCCGTGTGTATCAAGAATGGTCCACCACCAAAAGGACATCCAGCCAACTTTTGGAAGCACTGGAGTCAACATGGGCCAGCATCCCTGTGGAACGCTTGACACCTTGCAGAGTTCATGCCCGACAAATTGAGGCTGTTCTGAGGGCAGGAAGGTGTTCCTGTTTTGTACACTGTGTATATTCTCTTCTACGGCTCTACGGCTCCCTCTGCTGCTAGAAAGTAAATTCACACCACAAACCTCATTAGGCTCCCTTGCCTATTCACTACTATACTAAATAATAACCCATTTCCAATTTGCAAAGTCATTAGCTGGTGTTGAGCAAAGTGATTTTATTTGTAAAAACAACAATATGTAACCACTTCTAGGAGAAATACAGAATATATGATATATTTACTGATGGTTGACAGAAATAACAGAGGTCTCTTCAGAAGAACAAAATTAAAATAAGCATTATGCTGAGAAGACATTGGATATTTCTAGGGAAGAAAGCATTTATTTTGTGTTTGCTTTTCAAACTAAAACTAGTGTCAAAAGTGTCTAGGTAAAATAGATTCAGTTAGGTCTACCATGATTTATGGCAAATGGTGGATTTTGATTATTGTTCTTGTTAAATAAAATATATGTAGTATGGAAACAATTGAAAAAATAAATGTTTGTTACAAAATGACATTGTTACTTTACAAATTTGTCTTATATACACATTTTAAGCATCAAGTTCAACTAGAATACCTGCAAAATGGGAAGTATGTGATTCAGGCCACTATGCACTTAGGTGGAGAAAGGCTATGTTTGCTGTTTTTTACTTGCCCTCCATTCAACTTTTATTGCTTTTTATTGAGGGTTTAGAGGTGACTTATAATAGAAACTTGTAGGATTCAGTGGAATTATGTGTAATAATACTTGTTGTGCATTGAGTTATGCACATCTTAATCCCTACTGAATAATTTCCCATAGTTCCGTGAACAGTATATTTAAACTTAACACCTCTGATTGCAAACCTTAAGATCCCTCTAAACTGAATTCACCAAAAAGGTTGTGGTCACTGCCTCACGATGTTCCCAAATTAATAAAACTGATTTAAAAATGGAAATGCTTCAATGTTATCCCAAAACATGAAGATTCCAAAATGTCCCAAAAGTAAGGTCTCGATCACCATGTACAGAATCCCTCTTTGCCTGTCTGCAACGATGGCGTTGAGACAACTAAGCATCCAGTAAGAGGTAGTGGATCACTCTGATGATTCTAATCACAGCTTTGTTTTCATCAGCATCTTTGCTCCATCTGTATCTGTCACTCAGCGTAGCAATAAGGTGATTAATGTCTTTCCAATACCACAGAGATACAGTATCTAGCCTGCCAGGTCCATATCACCCAGCGCACCTGTGGTAAGGAGCAGAGGTCAACACTTCACAGCTAACTGCTATGGCACTCACACAGTCCCCCCATAAAGTGTAAAAAATATGAAAATGCATGAATACATACATGATACAGAGAAGACTATGCATGTCGGCCACAAGACTAATTGGCTTTTATGGAACCCAAGGGCAGGAATGTGTCATATTGTGAGGAATGTCCAGTCCTCTCTCCCTTTTGCTTATCTTACATGAGTTAAACGCTACATAGGGACTGGAATTGCCTGGCACAGTGAGGATTTGTCTGTTCTCAAGACATTAGGCCCATTACCACCTGGCTAGGAGAATACAGTCACACAGGATTTATGCACACGTCATGTCACATTTTACTGTAAAGTAAAACATGCTTGCATACTAATGAAGTTCCTTTGAACAGAATTGATAGGGAATGAATGTGCTCATATTGTAAATTCGAGACAGGATTGCTGTGCGTTCCTTTTTAGGAAGGGGAATGTAACAGCTGGAAGCACATACCAAGGCTGCTCTCTGGTAGTGAAGAATGGAAGGGCTCTTTGCTTATCACCAAGGCCAACTGGGACTTTAAACAATATTTACCCATCTCTTTCTTAAGCATTCCTATTTCCTACACACCACAGGTGATTTGGAGATTTTAATGAATATTTTAGAAATAAACTTGCATTTGCACAAATGAAGGCAGGTTGAGTAAATCAAGCCTCTTGTTAAACCCTAGAACATGGAACTCTATTGGGTGATCTTTGACATGTCTAAAAGGAATGCATCATATATACAATAACTACACTACCAGTAAATCAGTAACATGTCTCCCTTTCACAACACTAACAGTCAGAGTGAAGAATAATGAAGAGGTAACATAAGGATTAAAGTAGTAGAACACTTAGAAGTGATGCATTAGTGTATGCTGCTGACTGTGCGGTCTAGGCAATTCGGTGTCTTTAAAGCAAGCAGAATAAAAATCAATAGGAAAATATACAATTGCCGCTCATGGTTGGGCAGCAGTGCCATTGGCCATGATACACCCAGTTGCTGGTTTATGGCTGAGCTGTGCTAGTGCCTGGTAAAGAGACAGAGGGCTTGGTTGGCATGCAGAGGGCCTAAAGTGAGTGAGTGAATTGGAAGATCTCAATGGCATACTCCTCGTGCCCTCGCTCCTCAGCTCCTTCTCAGAAATTCAATGGGTTTTTAGAAGGAGACAAGGAGAGAGGACGCAAGGAGTATGCAATTTAGAACATCCCAATGACAACTGGAACATCCTCAGTAGAGCCACCTTGGAATCTCCCACAGAGGTCAGTGGGCACATATGCCTGGCCTGGGGCAGAGCAATGCTTTTTGTGTCTGGGTGGCATCAGCTTTAGACTCACACTGTGGAAGTGAGTCATGTCCAGGATAACACAGGGACTGTTCCAGTTCATCTTTCACTATTCACTCCTCCTCTACCTTGTTCCCATCATGCCCAGTTTCAGACATGCAGTTCCACCCTCTGTCCAAAGCAAGAGCTACAGGTATGTGTCCTGATCTGCCTCTGTGCTACTCAGGCTCTGTGTGGACTTCTGGAGAGGCGACACTGTTAGAAGAGACTGGTCGTTAAGGGATGGTTGGTCGTTAAGGGGTGGTTGGTCGTTAAGGGGAGGTTGGTCGTTAAGGGGAGGTTGGTCGTTAAGGGGAGGTTGGTCGTTAAGGGGAGGTTGGTCGTTAAGGGGAGGTTGGTCGTTAAGGGGAGGTTGGTGAGGCGGTGGAGATTCTTCAGGTGTGTTTGGGAGGGGTGTGTCATTGACGAGGGGCTGCTGTACTGTTGAGTCTCTCAGAGTAGGCTGAGGCAGAGGATATCTCAGTGGAAGCTGAGGCTGAGGATATCTCAGTGGAAGCTGAGGGTCACCGGGTAAAGGATAAGGGTTGGGGATCTCCATGACAGGAGGGGCTTTCTTCATACTTCCTTCCTTCTTGCTCTTCTTCTCTCCCTTCTTCAGCTGAGGTGTGGGCTGAGGGGGAGGCAGGGGCGACTCTACGATGATGGTGGGGTTCTGACGCAGGTCCTGGCGACTGGGAGGCTCCGAGGCCATGATAGCCCTGGCACCATGCATTCTGGGAGGGGACTTGCAGTGAAGCTCACCATGGTTCTTCCTCCAGCGCTTCAGCTGAACATGGTGCTCCCTTTCAACGTCCCGCTCTGACACAGGCACCTCCAGAACCTGATGGAGGAGAAGAGAGGTTACTGCTGGTGGTTGACATTACAGGCACATAGTACAGTGTTTCTAAATAGAAAATTGGTTTAGTCTGCCTAGTAGGAAATGTGATGCAAAAAGACCAGTGCTAATGGCCAAGAGGAGAAAAGGCTCTTTCAGTGGGGATTCATTCCAGTCCTAATCTTAACCTTGTTAGTAAATGTCAAACTGCCTGAGGCTGAAGGAGCGTCTCACAGTGAGGATGGTCAACTCTATCAGAGAGGCTATTGTCAAACTGAAGAGACACTCACACGAAGCCAAGGAAAGGGACTAGACACTAACTAGTCAGAACTGTGGTCAATGTGTCTCTCTCTGCATCAGTTGAACTTCCACTCTGAACTCTACATTTCCACAGTACTACAGAGTTCTGAACAGCCATTGTTCTCTACAGACAAACAATGATGACTATTCTCAATCTGGGTGAAATAGGGGTGTGATCTCATTCTCTTGGTCCTTGCTACTACCCCAGTCTGCTCAAAGACCATACTTCTCCTGTGGTTATGCATCGCTAACCATGTTTATTATTGGGTAAGTCCTATGTATCTCTCCCTGCTAGTGAAGTCCTTACCTCTCTGACTAGGAAGCCCTCCTGCATGTAGCGTGGCTCTATGGCCCTCAGCAGCTCCATGGTCTCATACTGGCCCTGACACGCCTTCAGCTTCTCACGGGTACCCAGCATGCACTTCAGCAGCACCAGGCCCACCCGGAAGATGATCTTCACACCTGGGGGAGGGGTCAGAGGTCACACGGTCACTAACTGGACATGATGGATGATTCCAGATGTTAGAATCCACAATTTCAAGCATCAGAGGAACTTTACTGATTATATCATTTGGGTGATCAATAAGGGAGAGTGGGGTAAATTGAGCCACCCTCGTTTCTAGGAAACCATACACAAAATTAATCATTGGACCAAATATTTAGGAAGAGGCCTAATTTCATCACGTCTGTGAAGGAAGAAACCACATGGAAAAAGTGGTAAGCAAGTTAGGTCCAAAAAACTGATTTTCACCAAGTCAAATGAATGTATTGTTTGAATGGTTTCGTGATGCTGTTTAGATCAGTTGGACTCTATAAGCTTCAATAGGAGGTCCTAAACCTAGCATGAACGTGCATCCTTCTAGCTGTGTGGGGTAATAGTCAAAATGTTTGCCTTGGGTAAGTTCAGCCAATGGCCATGGGGTAAGTTGAGCCAATGGCAAGATGAGCAAATTGAAATGTTTTCTTCCCAGGTGTAATACAAGGCATTATCGCTGGGATTTGAGGTAATAACAGGGCCTGGCCTATGTTAAGTGTTTTTAAAAAAATATTTTTAACTGTTAGGTGTTAAACGTGTTTAGAAGCTTAAAATGATTAAAAGACCAAAAAGCGATTGTGATGAATTGTGTTTGGGAAATGAAAATAGACATGGCTTTAAAAAGGTAGTGGTAATATTTCATTCAGTACAGACATTTGTAGGCGGCTTAACTTACCCTGTCCAGCGGCTCAACTTACCCCATACCCGTGGTAAGTTGTGCCAAGAGATCACTTTATTTGGACAAGCTATGTTTTCAAAACTGTAATGTTTACATGAATTCTGATTATTTACAGGGATACACATCCTAAAATATTAGTAGATATCTTTGTTAGAAAGAATACTATATTTCCCTTGACAGAGTGAAAGTAAAAAATGGCTCAACTTACCCCACTCTCCCTTACTGTAGATGTCCAGTGTATAAATTGGAGGTTGTAACTGAATGAATGCAAGACAGATGTTTGTGTGGAAGTTTCTGCAACTAACCGTCACAGAGGAACATGTCCCAGACGCGGAGCACTGAGGCCCAGGGCAGGGTGCGGGAGAAGGCACACATGAACCACTCTGTCATGTAGAGGATGGGCTCCATCTTGTGTTTCTCCAGGTGGCGGTAGGCTAGTGGGGAGACGCGCCGAGTCAAGGCATACAGGATTTCTCCATCTAACTGGATGGCCTCCTGCAGGGAAAGAAGAGCGAAAGAAGCATGTAGTCTCATACTGACAGGATAACAAAACATATCTTGTGTGGTCTACCTAACCTGTAGTGCATTAGTGAAGGGTACATGTCTTACCAGCCCAGCACTGTAGTATCCAGGAAGGTACTTCTCACAAATTTGGACCAGCCCCCAGAACGCATCCTGTGGAAAAACATACAGATGATGGTGTTAGGAAATTGGGACTAGAACCTTCCCTTTAAGAGGGAAACAAAACTAAAGCACACACTAGTGGCAGGCAAACTATAAGTGTAGCATACATAAACAATTCCATCGTAAATAGGGTCACAAAAAGTAGGAAGCTGGTTCAGAGCACTATTCACTGAGCTACACCAAAGGTCAGGCAGTCATTGTGAGAGAAGCAGTTCAAGCATGAGCCCAGAGGCACAGGGTTCACCTCAGCAGGCATGTGCATGAGCAGCACAGCAGCAATGGGAGCCTGGGCTTGACAGTAGCCCTCCTCTGGCCTGTACAGTGTGTAGGCCTTCAGAACACGGAACAGGTCCTGCTGCCTGTGTGGGTAAACAAACAAACAAACATACAAACCCATGAACACAGCAATGAACACACACAAGGACAAACAAGACAAAAAGTTAAACATCAGTCACTGAGTGAGGGTCAATTATTCCACTGTGTGAGACAACTAACCCGTGGCCCCCCCGTGACACAAACATCTCATGGAAGGGGAACTGTCTGTGCAGGTCTTTCTCAATCACGTCCAGCTCCTTCGGGTCTCCAGCCTGACTGTCCAGCTCCTGAAACAACACCAGGGAGAGTCAACCACAGTCCCACACAGTAAAAACAAACAGAGAGCAATGGAAAGAACATAACCAACCTCAAACTTCCCTCGGTTCTGTTCCCTCTTCACTTTTCCTCCTGACAGGTAGAGCCAAGCACGGCCTCGCAGTGAGGGAGGAATCCCTTTCTGACACCGCAGTCTCACCTGTTAAAACAGAGACAGAAATGTATTCATCACCAACCAAGGAATGTGCCAGTTAAAATAAAGCTGCATTACAACAGAGTTATTATACTACAGCTTTATACTGTAGGCCAGTATCGTTGACTGAACTGGAGGGACCCCATATTCATGGGAAACAGAACAGGCCTTTGGACATAGGTGATCCAAGACAATATTGTACAGGTTCAGTGGAATAACAGCTTATTCACAGTACTACTCAGTCCATTTATTTTTACTGAGATCATAGACCACTCCTACTCCTCCCAGAAGAGTGTGAACATCCATATGAAGATGTCATGGAACAACAAAGTAGAGAAGCGGAAACAGAGACACGACGGCCTTCACTGACTGACCTCAATTAACCAGCATAGCAGTCACAGGAAAAATGCCTACTGAATAATTGTGTTTATTTAAGTGTGCCCAACAGTGTTTCATGTGGCAATGCCCTTAACCAAGTCCATACTTGAGATTGCAGTCAGAACAAGCTAGTCTCTGTCAAACCTGAAATCTCACCACCATCTTTGTAACAGGGATGTGATGTTAGTATTACCACACCCAGAGTGTTGCTCTGTCACTTAGCCCAGCATGGAGTCGGTGAGGGAGATGAAAGGCTCATGATATCCGGGATCCTTGGGACGTCCCTTCTCCATTAAAGTTTAAATGTAAAATGGTTAGGTAAGGGTTAGAGTTTAGGGTAGGGACCCCCTAAGGATACCGGACAGCACTAACCACTGACTCAAGGAAATGAGGTGAGGCTGTAGTTGAATAGTTAACGCTAGACACACTGGTAGATCCGGCTAGGCAACTGGAGATGCAAACAAACTGGCCAGAGGCCAAAGCCCAGCACAACCTCCATGAAGAAAACTATCAAAGGTTTTATGCTTCTTCCAAACATTTTAAGTTTACAGAGGAACAAACAGGCCAATGTGTGAGCGACATACAGGTTAACACTGGCTTGTCTTTGAATTATTAGGCACTGCAACATGTTATCGTCCAATACAGCCCAAACACCCAACATGCCTGCCCTGGACAGAGGATGGAATGGAAGTAATAGTTTAATGTACAAATACAGGGCAGTGTCAACAAGATGCAAGCACTAACTAGGCCCTGGTTGGCTAATAACATAATAAGGAGTTGCCACATACTGTGCAAAAATGTATTTAGGATTGTTTGAGGAATAATTGAGACCAGATGGTGAGAGACAGTGTTAAAACAGTCTAGACACGGCAACAAATGAAGTTGTCAGACCTATGAATGTTCCAAATCTCAGCAGCTCTCTGACCTTTTTGTGTCTTTTGACCATCCATTTGTCCCAGTTGCTGAGCATGTCCAGCCACTTGACCTCTCGCTGCCTCAACACCTCTGGAGGGACGTCCTGAGCCCTGGGGGGGGAGAGAGAAGAACATGAGGAAGAAAATATTAGCATGTCCAAAACTATATCTAAGAACAATAATAGAATGTATCTCAGAAGTGTGTGTGTGTATTACAGCTATTTTTATATAAACGGTGTATAGAAGAACTACAATGCAAATGGACAGGTTTTGAAGCATCAAAGATAAGAGATTCAAGCAGGGGTAAATGGAAAAACAGGTAGGCTATCCGAGAGGCATTCGATTTTCCCTCTACGTACTTAGGCAGGGCGGGCCTGGTGCAGAACCAGTCGAGAGATGAGGTAATGCTATAATGTGGTAAGTTTGGCTCTATCCAAGAAACGGAACTGAGAATGATGGAACACTCACAAAGCATGACAAAATATAGGCCTAACGTTTTCTTATAGCTTGGCCTGATGGCGCTCAACTGTATGTAATCATCAGCACAACCTTGTAATCATGAGATGTAAGAAGTTTTCAAAGAGAGGCCTTTAAATTTGGACAACCCTCTTTCCGTAAAAGAAGTCTGCTGTAATTCTGTTCACTCCAATCCCCAAAATTTGCCAAGAGCTATAAATATGTGCATCTCCTTTGCAAGTTTGTCTACCACCCTACACAAATGAAAATAAAATAAAACCCTTTTGTCTTCCACTTCCGATAAAACCCTTAGCCACAACGGGGCACCAGAGCTGTGGCACAAGGCCAGCCAACCTTGCAGAAAACAGGAAGCTCCCAAGCAGCTAATGCTTGGCACAACTTTCATTCAATCCTCCACTCACAGTGTGCTACTCCGCAGGGCGAAGGGAGCAGTAATCCAGTGACAGAGAATCCAGTTGTGTAATTGTGCTCTAACTTTACGCATCCTAAGAAGGAAACTATTAGCGTTAGGAAAAGAGCTAAATCACAGGCATGAAAAAGAAGTGCTGAACCAAGTGTAAAAGGAAGAACACGTGCTCAAGAAAACAAAACCTAGGGGCGGCAGGTAACTTAGTGGTTAAGAGCGTTGTGCCAGTAACCGAAAGGTCGCTGGTTCTAATCCCCGAGCCGACTAGGTGAAAAATCTGTCGATGTGCCCTTGAGCAAGGCACTTAACCCTAATTGCTCCTGTAAGTCGCTCTGGATAAGAGCGTCTGCTAAATGACTAAAATGTAAATGTAAAAACCTAGTGTCCCTACAATAACAAAAAGGGAGCATTTGCGTCTCCATGCTGCCAGCTGCACAGTCGAAAGTTATATGCCGTCAGTGTCCATAAGCCATTGTCATTCAAAGACGCACAACAAAAGAGGTGGATGAACTGGAAAGGAGTTTAAGATGATAAAGCCGGTCGTCAGCGTCACCCTTCACACCCCACAGGTTATTCTCGGTTCGCCTCCAGAGTATTCTGTTCTTATGTTATACAGACCAAACATTGGACAATAACAAACAATCAGGGGCATCCCATGAACTTTAGAGCAGAGAAGTGGCTGGAAGGCAGGGCTGTTTACAGAGACTATGATGTTAGTAAAAAAAAATGCACAGGTCTTAAAATAGTACTGTATTTAAATGACATAGCTAGCTAGAGAAATAAATCACATTCTGTAAGAACAGTGAGTTTCTATCAAGTCCACCTCAAATATCCCATTCACATATCAACTAGGAGACATGATTGGGAGGTTGATACTGGTGGCATTTATTTTTCATGGGTGGGGTTAGAGAAGAGAAACCTTTAAAACACACATTTGATGTAGTTCAGTTCATGTACATCTGTGAAAGAATTGGCATTTGGTAAACATTTCACACCTTCCCCACCCAAGTTGAGACAGTTAGCCAAGCAACTACAGGAGTAAGCAAACTTGCAAATGATGGGCCATGCGAGCAGAACACCAAGGTTACTTACGATTCTTCTGAATACTGTTGCGCCCCTCCAATAAATCCATATTTATCGGTATGCCTGTCGTTGGTAAAGCCGTTGATCTCGGAGTCTGAGCCAAGAGAGCTCTCGTCGTCCATATGACTGCTGCTAATTGTCCTGATACTTCTTGAGTCGGCCGACTGGCGACCATTCTCTATTTTAGCCATGATTAGCTCAATAATACCCAAAGCTAACGTTATTTCGTTGGCACTGTCACAACCAACGGTATGAAACCAGACGAAAGTTTCCAAACAAACAAAACCATTGCCATGGCATGGAACACGTAGCTAGGCTAGCTAGTTAGGCTGTTAGCTTGTTTGCTGCTAATGCTGGCAGCTAACACTAGCTATCTGTCAGGACTTATCGAGTTTTTTAAAAGTTAGCTAGCTACTGTAATTAACTACTACCGTTAATAACGAGATGAAGTAACTAGCTAGTTAACACAAACAAATACTTAACGTTCCCTGGGCGAGCCAAATGAGTAAATACCGTAAGATTCCACCCGTGTGATGTTGACGTCCCAGCCTTTCCAATCTGGCTAACGCGTTAGCCTAGCTAGCTTGTGATGCGTCAATGAATTAGCTCGCTAGTAAATTAGCCGGATAGCTAAAAACGTATGCTAGTTTGAAATAACTTCCATCGACTACATGTTAATCTAACTAGCACAATTCACCACAAATGTGACATTTGTGTTTGTTATGTCGGTGAAGCAAACTAAACAACGTTTAAGTGACATTCCTTCCTTCCTGGTCCATTGATTCCGTTTCCTCGCCAGGGGGGAGGTTCGGCTGTCTCATTTTAGTCTCAGTGTCCCGGGGTGTAATTTGTCCAAACAGTTGTAAAAGGTAGGTCCCTCCCAGTTTCGTTTAAGAAATCCCTTAGTCGCTTGACGCATCCCGAAAATCGGTCTTCTCGCGAAAACGTCTGTAGGGTCCGAACGGTTTGACCTACAAACTATTATGGCCACTCTATGGAAAGGGGAGACTCAAGTGTCACGAGACTCGTCTGAATGTAACCGGTAAAAAAAATATATATGGAAGTATGAAGGTAGTTTTGTGCCTAACCCAAAAAGGGGTTAAATATGTGTAAAAAAATACACTAAAAGAATCCTGAACTTTCATATATATATATACACACATACATACACACACACACTAGATATAGATCAGACACTTCAAAAAACTTGTTTCTTATGATTTATTTTTGGACTGTCTTTTGCCATTTATGAATGTGTTATTCAATGCGTTTCTCTGGGCTGTAGTAGTAACGTTAAAGGCCAAATTCAATATATTATCAAATCATTTGTATATATATATTTGTTATACCTGAAGGGGTCCTAAAATGCAATATCAAATAGCTAAATGATCTATAGTATGACCATCTTAAAACAATTCCCCCAACAGCTTAGACTTACAGGGGCTAAGAAACATTTTAACAGAATCGGCATAATGAATACACCCCTGGCTGCTCATCTGTTGCTGTGGTTGCAACTTTAATTTCCTATTGGTTGTCACATCAGCTGCCTCACTCTCTTGAACTTCTGCTTATTTTTAATATTTTGAACTACGCATATGATATCCCACTTGCACAGCATGACAGTATGCCCCATTCCATTCAACATACTGAACAAACTAAAATGACAATGGTGGCATTTTATTACTTTATTTGATAGATTGACATGGGCTGTAAGGTCTGGACATGGGTAACAAGACCTCATGGGATTTGCAGAACAAATACACTGACCAAACCCCCTGCAAAACAGCAGCATGAATTACAATCCCCTTAAACAATACAATTAACCTTTAGAAAATAATAAACGCTTAAAATATGAAACTGTAGCAAATTATAGTTTGTTTATGGTTTATCTATGCCTTAAGCATTCTTTACAATTTGTATGACCAAAAAAGGATATAAATTGTTTTGAAAGATCTGCTCAGACAAATGTCCCAAACCTCACTTCTTTCTCCCACCTCTCTCCTTCAGTGCCAGGTGTATGACTGAACCATTGTTTATGTTGTAGTAGGCCAGCGAGTTGGAATCTTTTATGAAAATTCCCTGTAATGGAAGAAGTGATAGATGTAAATGACTCCAATGATACCCGTTCATGTCAGTTTACATTTACGCGTACAATTATTCAAAACAGGGACGACAATGCTTACCTCATACTGTAGCTTTTGCTTTCCGGCTGGCATGCCAGTGGCTTCATGGATTTTTACTTTAATAACAGACACCTGTGGTGAGAGAATGGGAAGATCAAATATTATAAATATTCCAGTAAATTTGACTTGGGGGTGCACTCCTGAGAATATATAAAGAACAGGTAAAAGGGAGCGTGGAATGGTGGGTGAACTACTAACATACCTGATCTGTGAGTGGGACAGTGAAATTGAGCGCTTGTCCACTTAGCTTCCATTCAGTCTTGTCCTGCATGTTGGGAACTTGCACTGTGATTGACACTGAACCCTATAAAATAATATACAGTAGAATAACTATATTTGTACAGGAACCCTTACATGTCAATACACAGAACAACCAACAGCAAGCATACGATGACTGACAGGGCATACAGTGCATTCAGAAAGTATTCAGACCCCATACCTTTCCACATTTTGTTATGTTACATCCTTATTCTAAAATGGATTACATTGTTTTTTCCCCTCCCTCATCAATGTACACACAATACCCCATAATGACAAAGCAAAAACATTTTTTTTTTGGGCATTTACATAAGTATTCAGACCCTTTACTCAGTACTTTCTTGAAGCACCATTGGCAGCGATTACAGCCTTGTCTTCTTGGGTATGACGCTACAAGCTTGGCACACCTGTATTTGGGGAGTTTCTCCCATTTTCCTCTGCAGATCCTCTCAAACTCTGGCATGGGGAGCGTCGATGCACAGCTATTTTCAGGTCTCTTCAGAGATGTTCGATCGGGTTCAAGTCCGGGCTCTGGCTGGGCCACTCAAGGACATTCAGAGACTTGTCCCGAAGCTACTCCTGCATTGTCTTGGCTGTGTGCTTAGGGTCATCGTCCTGTTGGAAGGTGAACCTGAGCGCTCTGGAGCAGGTTTTCTTCAAGGAGCTTTCTGTAGTTTGCTCCGTTCATCTTTCCCTTGATCCTGACTATTCTCCCAGTCCCAGCCGCTGAAAAACATCCCCACAGCATGATGCTGCCACTACCATGCTTCACCGTAGGGATGGTGTCAGGTTTCCTCCAGATGTGACACTTGGCATTCAGGCTAAAGAGTTCAATCTTGGTTTCATCAGACCAGAGAATCTTGTTTCTCATGGTCTGAGAGTCCTTTAGGTGCCTTTTGGCAAACTCCAAGTGGCCTGTCATGTGCCTTTTACTGAGGAGTGGCTTCCGTCTGGCCACTCTACCATAAAGGCCTGATTGGTGGAGTGCTGCAGAGATGGTTGTCCTTCTGGAACATTCTCCCATCTCCACAGAGGAACTGGAGCTCTGTCAGAGTGACCATCGGTTTCTTGGTCACCTCCCTGACCAAGGACCTTCTCCCCCGATTGCTCAGGTTGGCCGGGTGGCCAGCTCTAGGAAGAGTCTTGGTGGTTCCAAACTTCTTCCATTTAAGAATGATGGAGGCCACTGTTCTTGGGGACCTTCAATGCGGCAGATATTTTTTGGTACCCTCCCCAGATCTGTGCCTCGACACAATCCTGTCTCGGAACTCTACGGACAATTCCTTCGACCTCATGGCTTGTTTTTTCTCTGACATGCACTGTCAACTGTGGGACCTTATATAGACAGGTGTGTGCCTTTCCAAATCATGTCCAATCAATTTAATTTACCATAGGTGGACTACAATCAAGTTGTAGAAACATCTCAAGAAGTATCAATGGAAATAGGATGCACCTGAGCTCAATTTCAAGTCTCATAGCAAAGGGTCTGAATACTTATGTAAATAAGGTATTTCTGTTTTGTATTTTTAATAAATTTGCCAAAAATTATAAAAACCAGTTTTCGCTTTGTCATTGTAGATTGATGAGAATTACTATTTAAAAAAAAATCAATTTTAGAATAAGGCTGTAACATAACAAAATGTGGAAAGAGTCAAGGGGTCTGAATACTTTCCGAATGCATTGTATCTAAATCCAGCCGTGGATCATTCACACTACTGCATTTTGCAAGTAGTCCTTGACATTTAATTGGCCAACAAACCTTGTATCTGCGGAGGAACTCCTCCTCTGGCATAAGGTTGTCCTCTGTCTTCATCTTCTTGCTGGCAGGCTCATCATTATGGGGTGGGGGTGGCTGGGAAGGTGGCTGCGGGTCAGGGCGGGGGCGGGGGGGCTGCGGGACGGGAGGGGCAGGGACAAATGCTGGACAGGGAAGAATAAAATCAGTCAATAAATAACATGCTTAAAAGACAACCTGAATTAAAATGGTAAATAATCATGAAAGTAATTGGTAGCAATGCATATTTCTGAAGTCATCCATTGGATTTCAAAGTATTTAACACTGTGGGAATAGTGTAGCAATGGTTCGCTTACCAGTTGGGACCACCATGGGTGGTGGTCTGGGGGCCATCATGTGAGGTGGTTGGGGCATGGGCACCACGTTGATGCGGGGAGCATGCATCATGGGGGGCATGGGTGTTAGAACCTGCCCTGGGGCTAGGCGCATCGGCACAGGGGCCATGGGGGGCCGTGGAATCACAGGCACAGCTGACAGGAGAGTGGTGCGTACAGGGGGCAGCATCTGCATGATTCACAGGGGAAAATAGACAGTCAACCTTATATATTGACATAACGTTACAAAAAATGAATGTTTTAGCACTTCTATTGAACAAGAAAGCAACTTACAGAAGGAGGGGCCCGAGCAATCGTGTTCATTGGAAGGTTGGGTTTGGGCAGAAGGGGGGCAGAGGAGATAAGGGGTGATTGATGATGATGATGGTAAAGCTCAGGCTTGCTCGGTCCAATCTTCTCTTTGCTCTCATCCTCCTGCACCAGTCCCTTGGCCTTGTGAATGGCCTCAATCTGCTCTTGTAGGGTGATGTTGGCCTGTGCTGCCTGCTGAGTACGCGCCATGCTGCCAGAGTGCCCATCCCAGGTCACCTAAGGCGGGAAGGTGCATTAAGTAAAGACTTTGACCTCATAATGACAACGAGAATAAACAAGATTGAAGCTAAACAGAGATTATACCCTAATGACTCGTAATCGATTCCTCTTAGACATTTATTTCACTCATAAACCACATGGCTATTTCCCTCTCTCCACTTGCACTCACCTTCTCCTCAGGCTTCTGGATCTCCTCTTCTCCAATCTTCTTACCGATGGCTGTCTCCTCCACACCAAAGATATCAGTACGCCTCTCAGCCAGCTGTTTTAGGCTGCTCTCAATGTCCATGCCAGGGGCGTAAACCTCGTCCTCGATTTGCCTCTCTCTGATGCCGCGGTCCCTCTGCTCCAGCCAGCGGGGATCCAGCAGTCCAATGCGCATGTGCTCCTGCATCTTACTGGCTTGGATCCTCTCACCCGTGATGGGAGAGATGAGGTACTCATCCAGAGTCTTGGCTGGAGGCTGGGGCTTGGAGGCTATAGGGAAAGAATAAGCAATAAAATGTAAGGGCAAATTAAGAACAGGCATGTATTTTCCAGTCCTTTATGTCATACATTATATGAATCTAGATGTTTAGGTCCTGATGATGGAATCCCTCTCACCTTTGGGGTCGTAGTCCTTGCGGATAATGACCTGGTCTGGAGTAGGGGGCAGTGGGGGTGGCATGGGGTTGTCTGGGGGCAATGGTGCCTTGCCATCATCCTCGTCATCAGAACCCTGGGGAGAAGGCATTAAAGACTCTACATTGATTACACTATTTCCTAATAATAGTAATATTACATTCAAATTCAATCAGTAACTCTGAAGAAGTAATAAGCTGTTAATGACATCCTACTGTTATTTGTGTCTACTAAAACAGGTCTGTGTTTGCTAACCTCATCCATGTCTTGCAGCTGTGTGTCCTGATCAGGCTGTGTGGGACGCCCATCATCCCGCTCCTCCCGCTCATCGTCCTCCTCATCCTCACTTTCAACCTCCATCTCCACCTCCTCGCTCTCTCCAAACTTGTCATAACGCTCCTGGGTCAGGATGCGAGCTCCCAGCTCCTCAGGTGTGGTGGGTGGGGGAAAGTGGCCTGTTGGAAGTCATAACACCATCATTACAAAGCTAGTGACACAGGGGGTGGATAACATTCTCTCAGGAACAGAACATATCTATTCAGTTAATTTCCCTACCTTGCTCATTAGGCTGGAAGTCCACGGTCTCCACCACTACAAAGTCATGCCAGTCAATTTGAGCGTAGGACACACGCTCTTTCTCCCGCTCCTCCTCCTCCTTCTTCCTTTCACGTTCCTGGAACTTCGCCCACTCAACGCGGTACCTCACCTGTTGATAAAGCCAGAAGATAAGTTGTGAAGACAATTACCATTTTATGAGCTAATGGTGGGTAAACCCTACCAGACCTGGGCAGAAAATAGTTGTATTTTGTAGTTTATTTGAAAATACCAACTTTACAAATACTCAAGGAAGTCGAATATAGTTTGTATAACTAAAAGGCAACTATTTTCTTTGATAATCAAATACAGGTCTCCGAAAAACAAATAATATTTGAAAGTATTTTGAATACCTCTCATTTTAAGGTATTTGAATATATGCAAGTTATTTGAAAACAAAGAATATACACTACCAGTCAAAAGTTTGGGCACACCTACTCATTCAATGGGTTTTCTTAATTTTTTACTATTTTCTACATTGTAGAATAATAGTGAAGACATCACAACTATGAAATAACACATATGGAATCATGTCGTAACCAAGAAAGTGTTAAACAAATCAAAATATACTTTAAATAGCCACCGTTTGCCTTGATGACAGCTTTGCACACGCTTGGCATTCTCTCAACCAGCTTCATGAGGTAGTCACCTGGAATGCATTTCAATTAACAGGTGTGCTGTTAATTTGTGGAACAAGTTAATTTGTGGAATTTATTTCCTTCTTAATGCCTTTTGGCCAATCAGTTGTGTTGTGACAAGGTAGGGGTGGGTATACAGAAGACAGCCCTATTTGAAAAAAGACCAAGTCCATATTATGGCAAGAACAGCTCAAATAAGCAAAGAAAAACAACAGTCCATCATTACTTTAAGACATGAAGGTCAGTCAATACAGAACATTTCAAGAACTTTGAAAGTTTCTTCAAATTCAGTCGCAAAAACCATCAAGCGCTATGATGAAACGGGCTCTCATGAGGACCGCCACAAGAATGGAAGACCCAGAGTTAACTCTGCTGCAGAGGATACGTTCATTAGAGTTACCAGCCTCAGAAATTGCAGCCAAAGTAAATGCTTCACAGAGTTCAAGTCACAGACATCTCAACATCAACTGTTCAGAGGGGACTGTGTGAATCAGGCCTTGGGGTCGAATTGCTGCAAAGAAACCATTACTAAAGGACACCAATAAGAAGATGAGACCTGCTTGGGCCAAGAAACACAAGCAATGGACATTAGACCGGTGGAAATGTGTCCTTTGGTCTGGAGTCCAAATTGGAGATTTTTGGTTCCAACCGCCGTGTCTTTGATGATCTCCACATGTGTATTTCCCACCGTAAAGCATGGAGGAGGTGGTGTTATGGTGTGGGGGTGTTTTGCTGGTGACACTGTATGTGATTTATTTAGAATTCACCAGCATGGCTACCACAGCATTCTGCAGCGATACACCATCCCATCTGGTTTGGGCTTAGTGGGACTATCATTTGTTTTTCAACAGGACAATGACCCAACACACCTCCAGGCTGTGTAAGGGCTATTTTACCAAGAAGGAGAGTGATGGAGTGCTGCATCAGATGACCTGGCCTCCACAATCCCCCGAACTCAACCCAATTGAGATGGTTTGGGATGAGTCGGATGGCAGAGTGAAGGAAAAGCAGCCAACAACTGCTAAGCATATGTGGGAACTATTTCATCATACATGTCAAGCAGTGAAGTTTCAGCTCTGTCTGTCAGTGGCCTCTTCTGTCGTTGGTCCTCTTCCTTGGTGCGCACTGTCACTGTGTCCGTTTCCATCTTGTCCAGCTGTGTCTATCATTTCACGTAAACACTGTTTCTTGTCTGCATCGAAGTAGCGGTTGTTGTACCTAGCATCGAGCATGGTGGCGACACAGTATAGAGGCTCAGAGAGAATGCCACCGAATCGCTTGTTCACAGCATCTAGTAGAGTACTTTTGCAAGTTTTAACCCCACGGTCTGTGTCTGCAGTTTTGTTGAGCAGGCGTTTCAATGCCATGACAGAGGGTATCACGTCTGCTGCAGACGCAGTTGATTAGCTTATTTCTCGAGTCAGTTGTTCAAATGGAGCTAGGAGTGTGTTCATGTTTTCAATGAGAGTCCACTGGTTTGTACTGATTGTTGCAGGTAACTCATAGTCGGCTGCATTCACGCCAAGCACTCGTTTCTGTTCCAGCAGGCTCGCTATCATGTAAAAAGTACTGTTCCTGTATTGCTTGCAGGCGGCTGTATGCTAGCTGTGAGTGTTTAAAATGACCCACTATCTTCCTACCTGTTGCCACTGGCGTGTGTGCCATGCATGGCAAACTGGCATTCTTCCAAAGCCTTTGTCATGTTATGTGCATTATCACGTAGCACAGCGTGTACTTTGTTCTTGGGGATTTTCCAAGTTTCAAACATGTACTCAAATGCCATTTAAATGGCAGCAGCGGTATGAGAACCAGCACATTCTTGAGCATGCAATACGGCTTTCCTCAGTACGAAATCCTCGTCGACCAACGGTGCTGTCCAGTGTTGCCAACACCTCAGTAAGGAAAGTAGCTATTGGCTGTCCTAAAAGTCGCTAAATGACGTCATCACCTAATTTGCATAATTGGCCATGTGCATGTAATTGTGATGGACGGGTGGCGGCAATACACCTTTTGGGGTTGTAGTCCACCATAAAACCCACAGAAGAAGAAGAAGAGGTGTGAGTTTGGTGCGGAGAGCTCGAGTAAAGGACGCCCAGGTAGCGAAGAAGGACCGAAGTTTATTGCTCATATTTTATCGAAAGCGCTATGAATAAGTGTAGAAAGGGAGAGTAGGAAGGTAAATGGAGTCCCTTGAGAAAGCAAGAAGCAGATGTATGTCAGCAGAAGTGCAGTATTATCATAAGGAAACGTATACTTGGATGACGGAGGAGGAATGGAGGGAAAAAGAGAGGCAGAGGAGGTCTAAGAGAGAGAGGGAGGAAGACTGAGCTTGAGTCTTAAAAATGGCGTAAAAAAAGGAGAAGGTTTGTTAAAGAAGAATGGTAGGAAATGTAAGCAAAGTGAGCTGAAGACAGGAGGAGAAATGGAAGTGAATGAGGGTGAAGTATCAGAGGTGGAAGGTGTGGTGAAGTACTCGGAGCCCGAGGATTGCACAGAGGGTCAGGATGAAGATGAGTCTGTGACAATAGGAGTGAAGGTTTTGGAAAAAGTGGAGCCTTGCCTTTTGGCTGATCCATTTGTGGTTTCAAGATGGGTGAAAAGAGCGTTGGGTGAGGTGGAATCGGTGAGGGTAACCAGAAGTCACAGGGGGCCAGTATGAAAATGTATGCACTCACTAACTGTAAGTCGCTCTGGATAAGAGCATCTGCTAAATGACTAAAATGTAAAATGTAAGTGGTCTAGTGATAATTGTTTGTGTTTCTGTTGGTCAGAGGAAGAATGCGCTCAGATTTAGACAAATGGGGGAAAGAATGGTGAATTGTTTCGCTCTCAAGAAAAGGGCAACATGGAAAGGAGTGATTAAATGTAGAGTGATTAAATGTAAAAGTTGACCAACTGTCATTTGGTGCGACACAAACAGGGGGGCGAGAGTGGGGAAACAGAGGAGTCATTGTCTTTTCTTTTGAGTTTTGAAGTTGAGTCTTTGCCTGATAAAGTGAAGTTAGGGTATTTAAGTTATCCTGTACGAGCTTATGTGCGCGAATACATTACGATGTTACAGGTGTCAAACTTATGGGCATGTGGCAGCAGTGTGTAGGAGGGAGGTTCCAAGGTGTGAGAAGTGTGCAGAAAGGCATGAGACAAAGGAATGTGTAGCATTGGGGAAAGTAGTGGTATGTGCTAATTGTAGGGGTGCCCATGGGGCTGGGGATCAGAAATGTCCTGTGCGAGAGAGGCAGGTTGAGGTTTTCCAGGGTAAGAGTAGTGAAGAAGTTGTCATATGGTGAGGCAGTGAAGAAAGTAGAGGAAGATGGGTCAAGGGGGAGGAGTGGTGAGAGTAGTAGAGATGTACCAATGCGGAGGGATAGGCCAACAAGTGATATGTTTCAGTAAGATTGGATTTTTAGCATTTATAGCAATGGTTATTAATTGTACTGCAGGGATGGAACGTAAGTCTAAGAAAATTGAGGTTGTGGTGGCAGCTGCAGAGAGGTATTTGGGTGTGCGAGACTTGACATCAGAAGAGTTACAGGTAGTGTTAAGTGGTGATGTCCCATCATCTCAGGTTGAGGGCATGAGGTAGGAATTAAGATATTTAAATAGTGGAGTGGGGTGGTGTTAATTATTATTAATAATTTTGAATTTGTGAGTGTAGTGTTAGATGGTAGGGTATTTCTTTATTTTATTTTTCAAGCAAAATAAAAAAGGGAGTTGTACTCCAGTCTAGTAGGTGGCGGTAATGAAGATTGTGATGGAAGCTGAGGAATAACGTCGTGGGAGAGACAAAAAGTGAGTAAAAAACACCCTACATTTACATCCCGCCCTGACTGTAAGCCAGGGCGGGATCAGCCAGCGGCGGCTTCCCGCATGCGCGATTCATTTGCCGTCCGGACGCGGAGGGGTGAACATCTCCTGCTCTGACCGCAGCTGGGAGGGACTGCTGCGCGAGGACTGGGCCGCTTGTGAGTGCTTTGGGACGGGGGTAACAAAGCACCCGCTGCTCGTTGAGAAGAGTAAGAACGATACGTGCTTTCACGTCAGTCTCCAAAAGTCTCCAATAACACAAGAAAAATTCGCTAGATTTGTCACTAGTCGCTTTTTTGAAAATGTGTCGCTAGAGGGGTCTGAAAACTCGCTAAATACAGCGACAAAGTCACTAAGTTGGCAACACTGTGTCAGACTCAGCATGCTCATGGGGCTGACGTCGCTGGTCCAAATGTCAGTCGTGAAGCTAATAGCAGTGACGCCCATAGCAAGTAGCTCATGGATGTACGTTTCAACAATACTGTGTAACTCCGGTAGGGAAACATCTGAAAAATACTGCCTACTTGGTAGTGTGTACCAGTGCTCGACCAGTCGGCGAAAGCCAACATCATCCACGACAGAGAACGGTAGAATGTCAAGGGCAATGAATACCATTATCTTGGCGTTAATGGATTTCGCCTTTGAGTTGTCTCGCCGAAATGTTCTTACTCTTTCAAATGATTGCTCGACTTGAACTTGTTTAGTTGTTGGAAGTGTGAGCTTTTCTGCTTTTGTTGTAAGTAGTCGCTGAACGTCTGGGGGTGATGCACTTTCAAATGAGTAATTAGGTTTCTGGTATTGAAAGATTTCACTTTCTCCCCTCCTTGGGAAATAATAGCTGTGCAAACGTTGCATATGGCCTTTTTATTATCTTCCTTTGAAACTTCACACAGCAGACATTGTGGGCTAGGTTAGGAGTGCTGTGTTGCGCTGTATTTTCCGTGGCGTCATTACGTCATCTACCTACATTATACAGGTATGCATGTCAGCTTTGACATCGGTTTTGCACATCGGCGTTAAACTATACATAGAGCCAATGCCGATGTTGGCATTTTTAGCTAATATCGGCCGATTCCGATATGCTTACCGATATATCATGCATCCCTACACATTTCCACAGGTCTAATGTCCATTGCTTGTGTTTCTTGGCACAAGCAGGTCTCTTCTTATTGGTGTCCTTTAGTAGTGGTTTCTTTGCAGCAATTTGACCATGAAGGCCTGATTCACACAGTCTCCTCTGAACAGTTGATGTTTAGATGTCTGTTAATTGAACTCTGTGAAACATTTATTTGGGCTGCAATTTCTGAGGCTGGTAACTAATGAACTTATCCTCTGCAGCAGAGGTAACTCTGGGTCTTCCATTCCTATGGCGGTCCTCATGAGAGCCAGTTTTATCTTAGCGCTTGATGGTTTTTGCGACTGCACTTGAAGAAACTTTCAAAGTTCTTGAAATGTTCCGTATTGACTGACCTTCATGTCTGTAGTTTCTCTTTGCTTATATGAGCTGTTCTTGCCAAAATATGGACATGGTATTTTACCAAATAGGGCTATCTTCTGTATACCCCCCCCCCCCACACACACACCTTGTCACAACACAACTGATTATCTCAAATGCATTAAGAAGGAAAGAAATTCCACAAATTAACTTTTAAGAAGGCACACCTGTTAATTGAAAAGCATTCCAGGTGACTACCTCATGAAGCTGGTTGTGAGAATGCCAAGCGTGTGAAAAGCTGTCATCAAGGCAAAGGGTGGCTATTTGAAGAATCTCAAATATAAAAAATAGTTTGATTCGTTTAACACTTTTTTGGTTACTACATGATTCCATATGTGCTATTTCATGGTTTTGATGTCTTCACTATTATTCTACAATGTAAGAAATAGTAAAAATAAAGAAAAACCCTTGAATGAGTAGGTGTCCAAACTTGTGACTGTTAGTGTATATATAATATATATATAGGAATTGAACTCAGGTGTGATAAACCACAGTTGAGTTGTGTTATAACGGGGGGGCAAACACCTTTTCACACAGGACCATGTGGGTTTGGATTTTGTTTTCCCTTAATAATAACAACCTTCATTTCAAAACTGCATTTTGTGTTTACTTGTGTTATCTTTGACTAATATTTAAATTTGTTTGATGATCTGAAACATTTAAGTGTGACAAACATGCAAACAAATAAGAAATCAGGAAGGGGGCAAACACTTTTTCACACCACTGTATATACATAGTTGAAGTCGGAAGTTTACATACACCTTAGCCAAATACATTTAAACTCAGTTTTTCACAATTCCTGACATTTAATCATAGTAAAAATTCCCTGTTTTAGGTCAGTTTGGATCACCACTTTATTTTAAGAATGCGAAATGTCAGAATAATAGTAGAGAGACTGATTTATTTCAGCTTTGGTTCGGCCACTCCAATACCTTGACTTTATTGTCCTTAAGCCATTTTGCCACAACTTTGGAAGTATGCTTGGGGTCATTGTCCATTTGGAATACCCATTTGCAACCAAGCTTTAACTTCCTGACTGATGTCTTGAGATGTTGCTTCAACATATCCACATAATTTTCCTTCCTCATGATGCCATCTATTTTGTGAAGTGCACCATTCCCTCCTGCAGCAAAGCACCCCCACAGCATGATGCTGCCACTCCCATGCTTCACAGTTGGGATAGTGTTCTTCGGCTTGCAAGCAACCCCTTTTTCCTCCAAACATAACGATGGTCATTATGGCCAAACAGCGGCCTTTCAGGTTATATCGATAAAGGACTCGTTTTACTGTGGATATAGATACTTTTGTACCTGTTTCCTCCAGCATCTTCACAAGGTCCTTTGCTGTTGTTCTGGGATTGATTTGCACTTTTCGCACCAAAGTACGTTCATCTCTAGGAGACAGAACGCGTCTCCTTCCTGAGCGGTGTGACGGCTGCGTGGTCCCATAGTGTTTATACTTGCTTACTATTGTTTGTACAGATGAACGTGGTACCTTCAGGCGTTTGGAAATTGCTCCCAAGGATGAACAGGACTTGTGGAGGTCTACCATTTTTTTTCTGAGGTCGTGGCTTTCTTTTGATTTCCCATTATGTCAAGCAAAGAGGCACTGAGTTTGAAGGTAGGCCTTGAAATACATCCACAGGTACACCTCCAATTGACTCAAATGATGTCAATTAGCCTATCAGAAGCTTCTAAAGCCATGACATCATTTTCTGGAATTTTCCACGCTGTTTAAAGGCACAGTAAACTTAGTGTATGTAAACTTCTGACCCACTGGAATTGTGATACAGTGAATTATAAGTGAACTAATCTGTCTGTAAACAATTGTTGGAAAAATAACATGTGTCAAGCACAAAGTAGATGTCCTAACCAACTTGCCAAAACTATACTTTGTTAACAAGATATTTGTGGAGTGGTTGAAAAACAAGTTTTAATGACTCCAACCTAAGTGTATGTAAACTTCTGACTTAAACTATATATGTGTGTGTGTGTATATATATATATATATATATATATGGTGTGTGTAATATATATATATATATATATATATATATATATATATATATATGCGCTCATCTCAGTGACCTAATCCATTGTGGAGGCCTAGACTTAAAGAAAATGTGGTCGGAGGCTCCATGTGGAGGGTGTGACGCAATTGCGGAGCCAAACAGAGGCCAAATGGAGCTCTGTACCGCATTGCCATGCGCCTCCCAAATGTTTTAACAATGCGGTCTCTGTATAGCGCCACATTGACATGATTGGTTGACGGTAGGTGGGGGCGGTACCTCTTGTATAAACACAAACTCACTTCCTTGACAACAGCTCTGCACTGCTCCGCGAAGCGCAAGAAGTATGAATACCTTGACTTCTGCTGAGGCCATTCTTGCCCTAACTTCTGCTGAGGCCATATCACCGTGAATGCTGCATGGCCAATGCAGACGTTGGATTGACCATGCACCCAGATGCACAATGCACTTCTCTCTCCAGAATGCGTGCTCTCATGCCAATTTGTGCACATTCATTGTCTCATAACTTCATTGTGTGAATTGTTTGCGTTTGATTGTTAGTGTATATCAATTCCCCATGACATATATTCACCAGTAGTACGTTTACCGTTAATTCCTATAATTTCCAAGCTACAATGTTTGTTACTTTGGTTATGGTAATTTCTTTTAATGCATTCAATATTAACAGTCTTCCTGTTCTCATTGTCGGAGTGGACACATTGTTTGCAGAGTGCACAACCTATGCTACACTTGTGAAAAATACGTTTTGGTTTATTTAATTCCATTTACGAGTTCTGTCAATTTAGTCATTGTCTTTTGTTTGGAGCGCTCCTGTTAATGTTGAGTAAGGACGCAAACGCATAGAAGTAGGCCTATAGGCTACCTGGCCTGCGCGCAAATGTAGGCATATAAATCTGATAGTATTTCTGATTGGCTTAACGCACCACCACTAATGACCTGTGGAGCTTCTCAAAGTCATGTTTTCTTCACCTCAAACAGCAAGCAAACAAAGTCTGTTTTTACATCCATTTAGAATTCCAATAGTTCAATGTATTTGAAAAATATTTGAAAATGTAATGCTCTGATCCAGTGGAAACGTCATAAAATAGGCTTCTTATCAGTGCTTGACTCCGGTACTCATTTTGTGTGCTGGTACTGTTTATATTTAGGTGTAGGAGCTCCACAATACCTTTGAGCTAATATTCTATAAGAGGAACAGGAGCTCAAGCAGTAGAAAATGTGAGGTGCCGGTACTCAGCTCCGGTAAGCTCCTACCCAAGTCAAGCACTGCTTCTTATCCCTTGTGCAAATAGCCTACAGCTGTGTCTATCCTCACTGGCACAGGAAACTGAGGGCCCAGAATATCAGACCCAAGTTTGTATCAACTATGTTTCAAGTTCGTTGCAGACAGGCCATGTGTAGCCAATGTGATTTATAGGATATTTATTTTTAAATCAGGATATTTTCTACCTGCAGGCTGCAATGTATTTATTTGTTGGCTTTTTGTAGGCTATTTTTACATAGTTGGCAATATAAGTCATTTGTTAGGTTTGTATCATTTTCATTTAGATTTGGATAGAATTTCGATTAACCACATGACAATGATTTTGAGATATGAAGACGTTATTATAAATTAAATGAAACAGTTTCACGAAAATGTGCAAATGAAAAACATAACCGGCACGAAGATTGGTAGAAATTGTAAGATAAATTGTCTTTCCACATGAGAAAATTTGCCGACGCCTCGTGTAGCCTATTACCGGCAACTTCAGCAGAGTAATGGCAGAATCTGCAAAAAAGCCAGTAGGAGTGGGAGGAGAATATTTGGGTCAGGTAATTTTTTTCTTTCTTCTGGTTATCTAGATCTCTGGTGCCCTCTTGAGGCATCAAACCATATGCTTAAAGCATCAGACAAGCTCAATGCATATAGTTGATTTTATTAAAATAGATGTCTATAAATGGAAAAATACACTGCTCAACAAAATAAAGGGAACACTAAAATAACACATCCTAGATCTGAATGAATGAAATAATCTTATTAAATACTTTTTTTCTCTACATAGTTGAATGTGCTGACAACAAAATCACAAAAATTATCAATGGAAATCAAATTTATCAACCCATGGAGGTCTGGATTTGGAGTCACCCTCAAAATTAAAGTGGAAAACCACACTACAGGCTGATCCAACTTTGATGTAATGTCCTTAAAACAAGTCAAAATGAGGCTCAGTAGTGTGTGTGGCCTCCACGTGCCTGTATGACCTCCCTACAACGCCTGGGCATGCTCCTGATGAGGTGGCGGATGGTCTCCTGAGGGATCTCCTCCCAGACCTGGACTAAAGCATCCGCCAACTCCTGGACAGTCTGTGGTGCAACGTGGCGTTGGTGGATGGAGCGAGACATGATGTCCCAGATGTGCTCAATTGGATTCAGGTCTGGGGAACGGGCGGGCCAGTCCATAGCATCAATGCCTTCCTCTTGCAGGAACTGCTGACACATTCCAGCCACATGAGGTCTAGCATTGTCTTGCATTAGGAGGAACCCAGGGCCAACCGCACCAGCATATGGTCTCACAAGGGGTCTGAGGATCTCATCTCGGTACCTAATGGCAGTCAGGCTACCTCTGGCGAGCAAATGGAGGGCTGTGCGGCCCCCCAAAGAAATGCCACCCCACACCATGACTGACCCACCGCCAAACCGGTCATGCTGGAGGATGTTGCAGGCAGCAGAACGTTCTCCACGGCGTCTCCAGATTCTGTCACGTCTGTCACGTGCTCAGTGTGAACCTGCTTTCATCTGTGAAGAGCACAGGGCGCCAGTGGCGAATTTGCCAATCTTGGTGTTCTCTGGCAAATGCCAAACGTCCTGCACGGTGTTGGGCTGTAAGCTCAACCCCCACCTGTGGACGTCGGGCCCTCATACCACCCTCATGGAGTCTGTTTCTGACCGTTTGAGCAGACACATGCACATTTGTGGCCTGCTGGAGGTCATTTTGCAGGGCTCTGGCAGTGCTCCTCCTGCTCCTCCTTGCACAAAGGTGGAGGTAGCAGTCCTGCTGCTGGGTTGTTGCCCTCTTACGGCCTCCTCCACGTCTCCTGATGTACTGGCCTGTTTCCTGGTAGCGCCTCCATGCTCTCGACACTACGCTGACAGACACAGCAAACCTTCTTGCCACAGCTCGCATTGATGTGCCATCCTGGATGAGCTGCACTCCCTGAGCCACTTGTGTGGGTTGTAGACTCCGTCTCATGCTACCACTAGAGTGAAAGCACCGCCAGCATTCAAAAGTGACCAAAACATCAGCCAGGAAGCATAGGAACTGAGAAGTGGTCTGTGGTCACCACCTGCAAAACCAGTCCTTTATTGGGGGTGTCTTGCTAATTGCCTATAATTTCCACCTGTTGTCTATTCCATTTGAACAACAGCATGTGAAATTTATTGTCAATCAGTGTTGCTTCCTAAGTGGACAGTTTGATTTCACAGAAGTGTGATTGACTTGGAGTTACATTGTGTTGTTTAAGTGTTCCCTTTATTTTTTTGAGCAGTGTACATTGTAAAAAATTTAGCACTCGATTGGTCTAAAGAACAGACGATTCTTGGCCGACAATTATACTTTTTTTGTCAGGGACAGCCCTAGTTCTTGTGCAATTCATATCTATAGGCTACATTAAGATTTTTATTTCATTCATTAGTGCATAAGCCTAAGCTTTAGGGCCTAACTGTACACGCACCAAATACACAGCAATCGCCAAATGCTTTTGAGAACTTGGGCAGAAAAAGTTTACGTCGATCCACTGAGGCAAAAAGGACAATGTCGGAGTTGAATTCAATAAAAGAAAAGCAACACGGGGGCCCCTCGGGGTGTGTGCTTAGTCCCCTCCTGTACTCCCTGGTCACCCACGACTGCGTGGCCACACACAACTCCAACACCATCAAGTTTGCTGATGACACAATGGTGGTAGGCCTGATAACCGACGGCAATGAGACAGCCTACAGGGAGGAGGTTAAGGAGCTGATCGTGGACTACAGGAGAAAGAGGCAAGAGCATGCCCCCATCCACATCGATGGGGCTGTAGTGGAGCGGGTCAAGAGCTTCAAGTTCCTTGCCGTGCACATCAATAATGACTTAACATGGCCCAAACACACCAGCACAACAGAGCCTCTTCCCCCTCAGGAGGCTGAAAAGATTTGGCATGGGCCCTCGGATCCGCAAAAAGTTCTACAGCTGCACCATCGAGAGCATCTTGACTGGCTGCATCTCATCTTGACTGGCTGTAAATGCACCACCCTCGACCGCTAAGCGCTACAGAGGGTGGTGCCGACAGCCCAGTACATCACTGGGGCCGAGCTCCCTGCCATCCAGGACCTCTATATCAGGCAGTATCAGAGGAAGGCCTGAAAAATTGCCAAAGACTCCAGCCAACCAAGCTATAGACTGTTCACTCTGCTACCGTCCAGCAAACGGTACTGGATCATTGGCTCTCGGACCAACAGGCTCCGAGGCAGCTTCTACTCCCAAGCCATAAGACTGCTAAATAGCAATAAGACTGCTAAATAGTTAAATGGTTACACAGACTATCTTGCACGGACTCTACGCACACTCACAAGACTATACACTGAGTATACAAAACATTAAGAACAGCTGCTCTTTCCATGACATAGACTGACCAGGTGAAAGCTATGATCCCTTATTGATGCCTCCTGTTCAATCCACTTCAGTGTAGATGAAGGGGAGGACACAGGTTAAAGAAGGATTTTTACTCACACAAAACCCACACACATTCACTACATACACACCCAGACACATAACACACACACGCATACCGACAACACATTCACACACTTTTACATTCATCATATGCTGCTGCTACTCTGTTCTTTATTTTACTCTTATTACCATCTATCCTGATGCCTAGTCACTTTTTTTTAACCTTTATTTAACTAGGCAAGTCAGTTAAGAACAAATTATTATTTACAATGACGGCCTACAAACCCGGACGACGCTGGGCCAATTGTGCGCCGCCCTACGGGACTCCCAATCACGGCCAGTTGTGATACAGCCTGGAATCGAACCAGGGTCTGTAGTGACGCCTCAAGCACTGAGATGCAGTGCCTTAGACCACTCGAGAGCTTTAGCCTGCCTCCATGTACATATCTACCTCAAACACCTCGTACCTCTGCATATTGATCTGGTACTCCATCTATATAGCACCATTCTTGTGTATTTTGTTTCTCTTGTGTTACTATTCTTTTTATTATTACTTTTTAACTCTGAATCGTTGGGAATGGCTCGTAAGCAAGCATTTTTTAAGTCTACACCCATTGTATTTGGCACGTGACAAATACAATTTGACTTGTTACAAAAACTCTCAGCTCATTGCTATGCAATTAAAATGGAATTACCAAAGTATTATGTAACTACATGCTAATAAAATGTTGCTCCACATGTAAGTACAGTTTAATTACACAGGCACAACAACAGTAATGTTAAGTGTTACTGAGAATGCTAACAGTAACATGGCTATGAAGTGTCAAAAGGACACTAAATGTCTCAAAACATGCCTTCTTGAATCAACTACAACCAAGGTAGGTCGAAAATCCTGTTTGTTTATATTCTGAGTAAACTATCCCTTTAAAGATGGTATAGTGTGTGCTTGAAACAAGGACACTTACCCTCAGATGCACAGAGGTTTGAAGTTGTTTTTTCCAATGTTTGGAAATGGCTTTGAATTACTCTGTAGTAATTTCAGGTATTATAAAGTTAATTGCAGCTTTCAACCTTTTCAGTGGCATGTTGAAAGAGTCATGCAGTGGTTGAGCGTCACAACTTATACTTATCTGTACAAAAGATAGTTGGTTTGACTAGATAATGTTCACCTGGGGAAATGGACATTACAGAATATTCAGATAGAAATGTATTGTTAAGATCAAATATGACTGTCAGATAGATTGGAATAGTATAGAAGATTGTGTTCTATATTCATTCCATTTCTATCTTCAACATGCAGTTCCAGATATAGCCCTGCCATTAAATGAAGGCAGACAATCCAATAGTTTCTGAAAAGTAGTCACTTCCTGAGATTTGTATTCAAATATATTTTTTAAAGTAGTTACTTTCTGAGATCTGAATTCAAATAATTTTCAAAAAGTTGTCACTTTCTGTGATCTGTATTAAAATAGTTTTAAAAAGTAGTACTTTTTGGGGATCTGTATTCAAATAGTTGTAGTCATCTCCATAGTAACTATCATCCCCCGAAAAAAAAGTTTATTTTCACAAAGCATAGTTAAAACTATAGTTATCCCAGGTCTGAACCCTACAGCGAAGCGTCAGGGGCTTACCTGGTCCAGCACCTCCCTGGGGTTCTCAGCCTCTCTTTTCAGCTTTATCAGCAGTCCCTTGGGAGGGATCAGAATCTAGGAAAAAAGAACCAAGACAAACACAGGTGAGCATCACAACACAACCAGCTGAAGATATGCTCTACTACTAACAAGTGAAATTATTTAAATGCTATAATATTTCAACAAGATACACTACATGACCAAAGGTATGCGGACACCTGCTTGTCAAACATCTCATTCCAAAATCATGGGCATTAATATGGAGTTGGTCCCCCCCTTTGCTGCTATAACACCCTCCACTCTTCTGGGAAGGCTTTCCACTGCGGGGACTTGCTTCCATTCAGCCACAAGAGCATTAGTGAGGTCGGGCACTGATGTTGGGCAATTAGGCCTGACTTGCAGTCGGCATTCCAATTCATCTCAAAGGTGTTTGATGGGGTTGAGGTCAGGGCTCTGTGCAGGCCAGTGAAGTTCTTCCACACCGATCTCGACAAACAATTTCTGAACGGACCTCGCTTTGCGCACGTGGGCATTGTCATGCAGAAACAGGAAAGTGCCTTCCCCAAACTGTTGCCACAGTTGGAGGCACAGAATCGTCTAGAATATCATTGTATGCTGTAGCGTTAAGATTTCCCTTCACTGGAACTAAGGGGCCTAGCCCCAACCACGAAAAACAGCCCCATACCATTATTCCTCCTTCACCAAATTTTATTGTTGGCACTATGCAGTCGGGCAGGTAGCGTTCTCCTGGCATCCGCCAAACCCAGATTCGTCCATCGGACTGACAGATGGTGAAGCGTGATTCATCACTCCAGAGAACGCGTTTCCACTGCCGCGGCGAACTTTACAACACTCCAGCCGACACTTGGCATTGCGCATGGTGATCTTAGGTTTGTGCGGCTGCTCGGCCATGGAAACCCATTTCATGAAGCTTCCGACAGTTATTGTGCTGACGATGCTTCCAGAGGCAGTTTGGAACTCAGTAGTGAGTGTTACAACCGAGAACTGATGATTTTTACGTGCTTCAGCACTCGGCAGTCCTGTTCTGTGAGCTTGTGTGGCCTACCACTTCACGGCTGAGCCGTTGTTGCTCCTAGAAGTTTCCACTTCACAATAACATCACTTACAGTTGACCGGGGCAGCTCTAGCAGGGCAGAAATTTGACGAACTGATTAACTGTGGCCTATGACAGTGCCACGTTGAAAGTCACTGAGCTCTTCAGTAAGGCCATTCTACTGCCAATGTTTGTCTATGGAGATTGCATGGCTGTGTGCTCGATTTCATACACCTGTCAGCAACGGGTGTGGCTGAAATAGCCAAATCCACAAATTTGAAGGGGTGTCCACGTACTTTTGTATATATATTGTATATGCCACAATCAATATTAATTGGTAAGATGTTTTACCTTAGTGTACTGCTCTACCAGCTTGGTGAAGTAGTTGAAGAGGCTGTGTTGAGGTCGCAGGAAGTCAAACTGGTAGTTTCGCTGTTCTTTCTGCATGAGCTGTGTGAGGAACTGGCGCCCGTTGCGAGCAACAAACTGGGCGGTCAGCTTGACAACATCCAGGTCGAATGCCGAGATCGAAGGAGGGTCAGCAATGAACTCAAACTCGGGCGGAGGCTCCTTTGGCACCACTGTCTCATGAATCACCTGGGCCTGCAACTACCGGTAAAGGAAACCATAACTTAGAATAGCTCTTTTTAGGCATCAATCACATCTTACACTTTACAGTGAACCATTGACACAATCAGTGATTTATAATTGATAGACAAGGAACCACCCGATGTCTAGGAAGGAACACCTTTTGAGGAAGCTGCTGTGAGTTCTGCAGGGCCTGCTGCTGCATGACCTTTGGCACAGCCGCAGATGGCTCCTGGCCCTTGCCCTCCTTGAATTCATTGACCTTGTGGCGGTAGTAAGCATGGTAGGGGTCGTTGGGGTTCAGGAAGTTGAACTTTGGGTTGTTGATCTCATTCTGACGGATCCTTGCCTCGAACTCTGGTCCATTCCTGAGAATTAATGGAAGGAAAAGAATGCATGACCATTGCAATATGACATCATACATAAGACTTCATACAATTGTATAAAAAACATGACAGAGTGAGACTGAAAAACCAACCTGGCAACAAAGCTGGCAGTCTTATCAACGATGTTTCGGACCTCAGGAGGTGGATAGATGATCCCAACTATGGGTTTCGTTGCTGGGGCTTCCTCTGTAGGTTCATCTGCCTGTTGAAACAATATATATTGCAGAAATTACCTGGTTTGAAGTCTCGTCACGTTGAGGCGTCTGAGGCTACATTAATGACATTTAATTTACCATACACCCTACCCTCTTAGTACTATATCTTCTGATGACTGGGTGGATTTTTCATCAATCCAAACCTTTCCGATAAGGCTGGGCAATATATAATTTGAATCTGTGTTTTTCGTGATATTCCAAATGCCTGTATCGCAAGAATCTAATTTTTATTTTTATTTTTTATGAGCGTTTGTCTGTTTGTTCTCATGTTGTCTTTTTGGTCTCGTCTCCTTCAGTCCTTCTGTGCTGTGTGCAGTTTCCCATTTACACCAGATATCTGTATATAATGAAGAGATGTTCACGTTTCCGCCCTAACAATGGGAGTCATTGCCCCAAAGGCGGGAAGGCAGGCGACAAGCTTAGGTCCAAAATAACCCATAGAAACGCATTGGACTTATTTTGGACTTATTTTGGCAAGTGAAACCTCTCGCTTCGCCTCATCCTCTCTGTTTACACACACACACACACACACACACACACACACCAAGCCCCTTCCCAATGCCAGTCACAACAACAAAGAGATCACTTCTTCTCTGACAAGCGGTTTCAACTCGCTATTTGCATTTGAGGTTTGGTCCAACAGAATCGGTCATATGGACACCGAAACACATTGAGACATTATTTTACTGCAATAAAGGAGAACTTAACCTTTCTAACGATACCCTTTTTATGTCTCAACTCCTCAACTTGCATGCAGAGCAGACACTGGAGTGGCAATGAACATTGATTCAGGAAAATGAAATGCTCAGTTTGTCGCGCGGTCTAGTCTGTGTTTTATAAATGTGCAATATGCATAAACACAATTATATAAGGAATTGGCAACTTGTTCTCATTCTGAGAAATAAGGTATGCCACTTGATTTCAACATCTGAAAAAGTGAACAGGCTAACATGCTGTTCAAACAGTTGGAGACGGACAGAAGAGTGTGTTCATAACAATTCAACTGTTCTGCCTCGTTAGCTAGCAAATAGATCCAAGTTGGCTAAACTTGAAATATAAAGATTAGCTGGCTACCCTCTAGCACGTGGGCTTGTGCTTGAGAGATTGTTTATGAGACCTGTGTTAATTTTCTATAATGCCTGCCACAAGAAGTTAGTCATTGTTAGTGTAATGTGCATTATGCATGGTTATGGTATAATTTGTAACGAAAAGGGTATTTTCATAGACAGACTTGAAAACCAGATCAGTGATTATTGCAAAAAGGCAGGTTAAACTATTTTCATAAAATAATACAATTATTAGTGGGTCTTATTGTTGTGGAAGGCTTATATTTAGCCTGGGTATAATTTCACAAGCCCTGAATTCATTAGATTATTGCTGACTGTTTGAAATGCAGGGTATTTGATCTTTAATTGTACAACATATTTACATTTTAGTCATTTAGCAGACGCTCTTATCCAGAGCGACTTCGAACCCACAACCCTGGCGTTGCAAACGCCATGCTCTACCAACTGAGCTACATCCCTGCCGGCCATTCCCTCCCCTACCCTGGACGACGCTGGGCCAATTGTGAGCCGCCCCATGGGTCTCCCGGTCGCGGCCGGCTACGACAGAGCCTGGATTCGAACCAGGATCTCTAGTGGCACAGCTAGCACTGCGATGCAACAAAGCTTATTTAGAGAAAACATTTAAAAAAAAAATTGTGATATATATCGTGAATCGCCCATAAATTTGAAAAAAAAATATATAGCCCAACCCTACTTTCAGATATAGCTACAGAAGTATCTACACTGGGGTTAGGATGTAGCTGGAATTGTTTACTTTCTAGACAAGGCCTCTCAGCTGACTTAACTAGTATAAAAATGTCCAGTGAAAATCTAAATTTTAAAAGTTAATATTCTCTTAAAGTGGAACTGACAGCATTTTAGCAACATTACATTTGATTAAAATCTGTTCATATACACCCCCAGGAAGAATGACACGTTTTTACATTTCCTGACAAGCGAGCACTTAGATATGGTCATTTTCAGGTTTTCATAAATTCGTAGAATGTTTGGTAATTATGTATAATAAAGGCATTTTTGAAAATTCTATAGCAATATAGAGTGGGAAAGTGGTTGTGCGCTTGGACAATTAATAGACACTGCAATAGAAAAAAACTAATAAAAACATCTGTATCGTCCAGGACCGGAGTCTACATCAGAGGTACAGTAGGCCTATATGCAAACAAGCCATTTGCCAAAAAGGCCTGCCATCATTCACTTTGAACTGAACTGTGTGTTTACAGGCAGTTGCAACAGCGCGACTTTAGATCATTAGAACGCATTCGGCAAAAGCCACAAAATACACTTGAATGGATTTCTGCAAATATGTAGCTAAATACCATGGGTGTCCTCTTACATTTGGGAACTTTACAGTCCTATTGATCAAACAACCATAAAAAAGGTAGGCTCTCTTTCCCTATATGCACATCAACAAGATCAACAACTAATGCTAGCCAGAGCAAGATGAGCTAAAATCTAACGAAGGAACATTATATAAACCCTCTCAAACTTTTTCAGCTAGTTGGCTGACAAAATTGCACTGATAAACGATGGGGAATAGCCTGCTCATCCTTCTGCAGCTTGCCTGACAATGCATGCGTTGTCCCAACCAAGCACCCAAGCTAACTAGCTAGCTACTTCCAGACGCAAATGAGAGAACACCTCAATGATAATTTTACGCACCCTAGCAGAGCTGGTTAGGCTGTTTACATGTTATATAGAGCGTTCGTGACTAACTATAAAAAAAATTGCCTTAGTTTACTGACACAGGTCATATTCAGCTGGTCTTCCGCGATCGTAAATTCATCAGTTATTCTGTGCTCTGGCACACTGAGACAAGATTGCTCTGAAATCGGAGTAGAGGGGCAAGCCAGAGTGGATTTGCAAATGCAAGAGATATGCTAACTGGATAACAGTCGTTCAGCATAGCTAGCTAGCAAAGCAATTCACATCTTGCTAACTAACCAAATAACACGTGAATCTCCAGCTGTGTAGCCACCGAAAAACAATACGAGATTTAAAAGTCACTCACTCACCACTCCTCCAATGACATGACGTCCTCCTAGCAGTTAGTTAGCTAGCTATCTAGCTAACGTTAGGCTCTGTGTTTTTAGCTTTCTACATAGATACGCTAGCATATTAGCCACGTTATGAATGACTTGTGATCATTGCCCTTGGTAGTTTGATTGTATTGACATTCCCAGCATTAGTTACATTCGTCTGTTTTTGTACAAAATATTGAGTTATTGAAACTGAAACAGTGTATCCCGAATGGAGGCAGCAAACAACGTACTAGGCCAGCTGTGATTTACAACCTGATAGCAATATTTTTTGGACTACCAAGAAATGTATTGGTGAATTATATTAATCATGCAATGAACTGCATCCATCTTTTCTGCCAACAATGCCTTAATGTACATCATGGAATGTTGAGTCAAATAGAACCTATTTTTAAAACCTCTTATAAGTTGGTTTTGTAGCATAAACTGGGAATTCTATCATTTTTTACTGATATTATGATTGTCTGTTTGTTTCATATCTGCAAAGTAGTTAAAACACTGTCAGTTCCACTTTAACTCACACCCAAATAATGTTTTTGACTCATCCTATACTCATGTGTGGACAAAGCATAAAATGGAGAAAAAAACACTTCAAAAACCCTACCTCAAACTTGTATCTCAAACAGACCGTTTAAAACATGCTTGCTATTTCCTCATAGAGAATAGAGTTGGCCAGTGTTGCCAACTTAGCAACTTTGTCGCTGTATTTAGCGAGTTCAGACCCCTCTAGCGACACATTTTCAAAAAAGCGACTAGCGACAAATCTAGCGACTTTTCCTGGTGTTATTGGAGACTTTTGGAGACTGACGTGAAAGCACGTATCGTTCTTACTCTTCTCAACGAGCAGCAGGTGCTGCCGTGGGCCCCACCCCCGTCCCAAAGCACTCACAGGCGGCCCAGTCCTCGTGCAGCAGTCCCTCCCAGCTGAAGTCAGAGCAGGAGGTGTTCACCCCTCCGCGTCCAGACTGCAAATGAATCGCGCATGCGGGAAGCTGATCCCGCCCTGGTTTACATTCAGGGCAGGATGTAAATGTAGGGTGTTTTTTACTCACTTTGTCTCTCCCATGATGTTACTCCTCTCTCCTACAGCGTCCATCACAATTACATGCACATGGCCAATGATGCAAATTAGGCGATGACGTCGTTTAGCGACTTCTAGGACAGCCAATAGCTACTTTTCTTACTGAGGAGTTGGCAACACTGGAGTTGGCCAATCAGCATGACTAAAATGTAACAACCGTTAAACACCCACACCATTCCAACACAGAAAAGTTGGTTTTTAACATACTTAATTACCATTTTTTGGAAGGAAAACTATTTCACTCATATTGTAATTAATTATAGGTAACATTTCATAGAAATCTGGAAAAACTGGAGAGTTGCTTTAAGTTAGCTAGCGCTAGTTTTAGTAGCTATAAAAACAGAAACAGATAGCAAAGTTATTGGGGCAAAGTTTCTGGACATAGCTAAGTAACGTTACTATTTTTAGACAATACGCAACACGGTAGTAGTGTTACCCCAAATCTTCACAATTACAGGAGGTAGTAAAAACGTTAAAGAGCGATTGAGGTAGCAAATCTTACCTTGCTGTTGGGCTCAAGATGAACAATTTGTACAGGCCCTGGCGGCATGGCTGAGTCAATTCCTTGATTGGGTTATCTGTTAAAACGTTAAAAGTTCAACAAAAACGTTATTTCTCTTCACAATTACACTACTTCTCGTACTGTATATCTAGAAACGTTATTAATTGCACAAAACTATTTACAGATAGGACCTACGAGTGCGTTTTTCTGTCGTTGACCCGCCTGGAATGGCTGTCTTTTACTTCCGGAAACACATCTAAGCATTATGGGATTTGCAGTTTTTCTAGCAGGTCGCTATGGAAATAACATCCATCCAACTAAGCACTGCTCGCTCACAGCGTCTTCCTGAAGGCACGACAACAAGTGGCTAGACACAACACATGAGAGAGAGAGAGCGCGCAAGCTACTACGTTTTGTCAAGATGACCCATCTCTTAGGACGTCGTTGAAAGTCTCCTGAGAGATCTAATAGATCTTCAAGGTGCTGTTCTGGATGTCTTCTACATTTACATTTTAGTCATTTAGCAGACGCTCTTATCCAGAGCGACTTACAGTTAGTGAATACATCTTTTTTTATACTGGCCCCCCCGTGGGAATCGAACCCACAACCCTGGCGTTGAAAACGCCATGCTCTATCAACTGAGCTACATCCCTGCCGGCCATTCCCTCCCCTACCCTGGACGACGCGGCCGGCTGCGACAGAGCCTGGATTCGAGTGGCACAATTAGCACTGCGATGCAGTGCCTTAGACCACTGCGCCACTCAGGAGTACAAGGATATATTGACATGGGGGTCTAGTTCGTAGAGGGCCGGCAAACCATGCCAATATATTCTCCAAACACCGGCTTCGAGGGCATTATCACTTTTATAAATAATAATAATATAATATTCCATTTAGCAGACGCTTTTATCCAAAGAGACTTACAGTCGTGTGCATATATTTTTACGTATGGGTAGTCCCGGGGATTGAACCCACTACCCTGGCGTTACAAGCGCCATGCTCTACCAATTGAGCTACAGAGGACCACAACCGTTTTATACAACGGGTTACCAACATATTCAAATAATGATTGACATATTTTCATTAAAAACGTTATTTTGATTAATTTATTCAATACTATTTCATCCTTCCACAAGATAGAGTCCCGACACAAATCTAGGGTTGCTCCCCAAGCCGGCTGGTCGTTCATTCTATTAGTTCGGTGGCCAGAGACGCGACCCAGTCCTTCAGTCTTTATGTTCTGTATCTATGGACGCGACCCAGTCGTTCGTTCTAAATGTCCCATTGTCATACTGGCTGGCAACGTTTTTATCCCTTGCTTTCTAGCTAGCCAACTACTACTAGTTTACAGTCATGTCAAAAAGTGCAGCCATTTGTTTACGCTGTTTTCTAATCACATTTATTAGGATACATCCATAACAATGAGCTAATGAGGCGCGATTTTGCCTGGCATAGAACATGTTCTCATTCTTCAGGACACTGTTATTCAGGCGAGCCAGCCAACAACACAGCTAACACAATCACTTCAAACTGAAGCTGGAAAGACTGCAAACTAGCTACACTTCGTTTCGTTTTACCTTTTTTCAATTGACATTTATTTGTATAAATCCATAAAAATGATGCCAGCTGATTCATGATTTCGACTGGCTGAGAAACACTGCTTGCCTGTCTGTCTCCTCCCGACTTGTTCGTTACTACCGGACAGCTGGAGATCGAATTTGAATATTGAAACAATGTTGCAAATGTCGGAGTGAAAGACAATAAGGTTTATACAAATCTCCATTGTTGAAAACTAAATGTTAGTTAAAAAGAAATGTGAGATAATGTCTAGATGTTTTTCATAGTGGATATCAAGTTTATAAACTGCTTGGCTGGGCTGATGAGACAGTGGATTGTGCAGTCAGATGGAACAGAGTAAATAGGCATTTTAACGTCATAGATTTAGCAGGTGGTAATTTGTGGAATACACACCGGCAGGAATGTGGTTTTAACCAATCAGCATTCAGGATTAGAGCCACCGGTTGTATAATGTACAGTATAACCTATTGTAAAGATATGATGTAGCTAGAGAATAGTTGGAAATTACGATACGTGACTGTAATCCATTTATTTCCCCTAGATTACTACTCCTGCTGCAAGTTTGGACAGAAAGAAAACATTAAGCAAACCGCTCCATGTGTATCAATTGGCCTTGTAATTGGACACTATTGGAATAACTTTATCCAGATTGGCAACCAGAGTGAGTTTTTAAAGCACTCCTGTTGTTTCAAAAAAAAAAATCACAGAAAATTAATATCTTATGACCATGTTGTTCCCCCCTCTTATTCAGAGCGTGAAGCAAGATATTCAAGAATTGATCAAAACTCCAAAGTGTGAGGAAAATACCACTTTCTCTGTAGCATCCTCACTCCTGATCACAAAAAGTGACCTTTGTCCACAGTCTCCATCGTAGTGTCTCAGCACTGTACTTCAAGAACAGCAACAAGTACATGTCATCCACAGAAAAGGACAAATGGTAAAAAGAGCAAATGGCGGCCCCTCCTGTCCTCATCGCAGAACAGCAACCACCATCCCATTCTGCCTTCCCCTTATATCCACATACACTCACAATGTAAGTTGCCAGACAGTAGACTCCTCCCTTGTCCCCTGTGATGCCTGTGCTCAAGTCCAGTCCAGCCTGAGGGAGACTGGTGATGCTCTTGTAGAGCTGTGTCGGAGCGAGGGCCTTCCCACCTCTCTGCAGCGCCTCCTAGTGGCTGTGGATGACATCCTGGAGCAGGGCCGTCTGACTGTAGGAGATGTGTCCCAGTGGTCAATATACTTTATATCTGTCCATTTTAGGCTCCGTGTCCATGGAGAATAGAAACTCCAAACTGAAGGCAGAGATTAGTTTGCAACAAGAAAGGTTACACAAACTTGGAAAGGACATACACCCCCACCCCAAGTCTGATGTTTTAGGAGCAGAAGGAGACAGCCCAAGTAAAAAAAAAAAAAAATATATATATATCTAATTGTTGTGAACAGAAAATCTGTGGAACCTTGTCCTTTCTTTGTCAGAGTGTGAGAGATGAGCTACATCAGGAAGTGAAGGCCTTGCAGGTAGAGGAAGAGGCACAGAGTTAACTAGAGGAGGAGACAAACACTGGAGGCTCAACTGTTCAGTACTCAGCTCTTACTTGACAAAGAGAACTTCAAGTACCAGAATGCCTGTCGCCAACAGGAGGTCAGTATAACAGCCATGTGTAGGGTTGGGTACTCATGGGGGCAGTTGAGAGTCTTTAAAACCAGACCTGGGGCGGTACTAGTACATGTGTTAAAGGCCACATCTAAAAACTCCAATCCTGAAGATTGATTTGAGTCTGTTTTACGTGAGTTGTTACTGCACAGTCTCACTCTGTGTCTTCAACAGTCACTGCAGGCCAAGCAGATGTCTCTGTTGGAGCGAGTGGATGCTCTGGACCAGGAGTGTGAGGACAGTTGGGGGAGACTGAGGACACACAGACAGACCTACAGGATAGACTGACACACATCTCAGAGGAGAAGGACCAACTTAAAACCCAGTTCACCCAAAAACAGGTACATTACTACCAGACAGATGTATACATTTTACATTTACATTTTAGTCATTTAGCAGACGCTCTTAACCAGAGCGACTTACAGGAGCAATTAGGGTTAAGTGCCTTGCTCAAGGGCACATTAACGTCATTTAGCAGACGCTCTTAGCCAGAGCGACTCACAAATTGGTGCGTTCACCCTATAGCCAGTGGGATAACCACTTTACAATTTGGGGGGGGGGGGGGGGGGGGGGGGGTTAGAAGGAATACTTTAGCCTATCCCAGGTATTCCTTAAAGAGGTGGGGTTTCAAATGTCTCCGGAAGGTGGTGAGTGACTCCGCTGTCCTGGCGTCGTGAGGGAGCTTGTTCCACCATTGGGGTGCCAGAGCAGCGAACAGTTTTGACTGGGCTGAGCGGGAGCTGTGCTTCCGCAGAGGAAGGGGAGCCAGCAGGCCAGAGGTGGATGAACGCAATGTCCTCGTTTGGGTGTAGGGACTGATCAGAGCCTGAAGGTACAGGGGTGCCGTTCCCCTCACTGCTCCAAAGGCAAGCACCATGGTCTTGTAGCGGATGCGAGCTTCAATTGGAAGCCAGTGGAGTGTGCGGAGGAGGGGGGTGACGTGAGAGAACTTGGGAAGGTTGAACACCAGACGGGCTGCGGCATTCTGGATGAGTTGTAGGGGTTTAATGGCACAGGCAGGGAGCCCAGCCAACAGCGAGTTGCAGTAGTCCAGACGGGAGATGACAAGTGCCTGGACCAGGACCTGCGCCGCTTCCTGTGTAAGGCAGGGTCGCACTCTCCGAATGTTGTAGAGCATGAACCTGCAGGAGCGGGTCACCGCCTTGATGTTGGCGGAGAACGACAGGGTGTTGTCCAGGGTCACGCCTAGGCTCTTCGCACTCTGGGAGGAGGACACAGCGGAGTTGTCTACCGTGATGGCGAGATCATGGAACGGGCAGTCCTTCCCCGGGAGGAAGAGCAGCTCCGTCTTGCCAGGGTTCAGCTTGAGGTGGTGATCCGTCATCCATACTGATATGTCTGCCAGACATGCAGAGATGCGATTCGCCACCTGGTTATCAGAAGGGGGAAAGGAGAAGATTAGTTGTGTATCGTCAGCGTAGCAATGATAGGAAAGGCCATGTGAGGATATGACAGAGCCAAGTGACTTGGTGTATAGGGAGAAAAGGAGAGGGCCCAGAACCGATCCCTGGGGGACACCAGTGGTGAGAGCACGTGGTGCGGAGACAGCTTCCCGCCACGCCACTTGGTAGGAGCGACCGGTCAGGTAGGACGCAATCCAGGAGTGAGCCGCGCCGGAGATGCCCATTTCGGAGAGGGTGGAGAGGAGGATCTGATGGTTCACAGTATCAAAGGCAGCAGACAGGTCTAGAAGGACAAGAGCAGAGGAGAGAGAGTTAGCTTTAGCAGTGCGGAGAGTCTCTGTGACACAGAGAAGAGCAGTCTCAGTTGAATGACCAGTCCTGAAACCTGATTGGTTTGGATCAAGAAGGTCATTCTGAGAGAGATAGCAAGAGAGTTGGCTAAAGACGGCACGCTCAATAGTTTTGGAAAGAAAAGAAAGAAGGGATACTGGTCTGTAGTTGTTGACATCAGTGGGGTCGAGTGTTGGTTTTTTGAGAAGGGGAGTAACTCTCGCTCTCTTGAAGACGGAAGGGACATGGCCAGCGGTCAAGGATGAGTTGATCAGCGAGGTGAGGTAGGGGAGAAGGTCACCGGAGATGGTCTGGAGAAGGGAGGAGGGGATGGGGTCAAGCGGGCAGGTTGTTGGGCGGCCTGCAGTCACAAGTCGCAGGATCTTATCTGGAGAGAGAGGGGAGAAAGAAGTCAAAGCATAGGGTAGGGCAGTGTGAGCAGGACCAGCAGTGTCATTAGACTTAACAAACAAGGATCGGATGTCGTCAACCTTCTTTTCAAAGTGGTTGACGAAGTCATCCACAGAGAGAGAGGAGGGGGGGGGGGGGGGGGGGGGGGGAGGGAGGATTCAGGAGGGAGGAAAATGTGGCAAAGAGCTTCCTAGGGTTAGAGGCAGATGCTTGGAATTTAGAGTGGTAGAAGGTGGCCTTAGCAGCAGAAACAGATGAAGAAAATGTAGAGAGGAGGGAGTGAAAAGATGCCAGGTCGGCAGGGAATTTAGTTTTCTTCCATTTCCGCTCCGCTGCCCGGAGCTCTGTTCTGTGAGCTCGCAATGAGTCATCAAGCCACGGAGCTGGAGGGGAGGACCGAGCCGGCCGGGAGGATAGGGGACACAGAGAGTCAAAGGATGCAGAAAGGGAGGAGAGGAGGGTTGAGGAGGCAGAATCAGGAGATTGGAGGGAGAAGGATTGAGCAGAGGGAAGAGATGATAGGATGGAAGAGGAGAGAGTAGTGGGAGAGAGAGAGCGAAGGTTGCGGCGGCGCATTACCATCTGTGTAGGGGCAGAGTGAGTAGTGTGGGAGGAGAGTGAGAGAGAAAAGGAAACAAAGTAGTGGTCGGAGACTTGGAGGGGAGTTGCAGTGAGATTAGTAGAGGAGCAGCATCTAGTGAAGATGAGGTCAAGCGTATTGCCTGCCTTGTGAGTAGGGGGGGACGGTGAGAGGGTGAGGTCAAAAGAGGAGAGGAGTGGAAAGAAGGAGGCAGAGAGAAATGAGTCAAATGTGGACATAGGGAGGTTGAAATCCCCCAAAACTGTGAGGGGTGAGCCATCCTCAGGGAAGGAACTTATCAAGGCGTCAAGCTCATTGATGAACTCTCCAAGGGAACCTGGAGGGCGATAGATGACAAGGATATTAAGCTTAAATGGGCTAGTGACTGTGACAGCATGGAATTCAAATGAGGAGATAGACAGATGGGTTAGGGGAAAAATTGAGAATGTCCACTTGGGAGAGATGAGGATTCCTGTACCACCACCCCTCTGACCAGATGCTCTCGGGGTATGCGAGAACACATGGTCAGACGAGGAGAGAGCAGTAGGAGTAGCGGTGTTTTCAGTGGTGATCCATGTTTCCGTCAGCGCCAGGAAGTCGAGGGACTGGAGGTTGGCATAGGCTGGGATGAAGTCAGCTTTGTTGGCAGCAGAACGGCAGTTCCAGAGGCTGCCTGCGACCTGGAACTCCACGTGGGTGGTGCGTGCAGGGACCACCAGATTGGAGAGGCAGCAGCCACGCGGTGTGGTGCGTTTGTGTAGCCTGTGCAGAGAGGAGAGAACAGGGATAGGCAGAGGCATAGTTGACAGGCTGTAGCAAATGGCTACAAAAATGCAGAGGAGATCGGAATGAAATGGGCTAAGCATCTGGGAGCGGAGAGAGCAGGGGCTCCCTCACCAAAACTTCTACCTCGGAAACTAAAATTGTTTCACTGAACCACCCGAAGAAAAAACTCTCCCAACTTCCGCCTTTGGAAATCAGAATTGTTGTGAACCACAGCGGTTCAATGTTTAAAGGAATAGACTCAACCCACTTTGTTCAGCTAGCCAACTATGACTCCATAGCCAACTAGCAGACTAGCATCCAATAACAATAACACACCGTTTAGCGCCAACACTTGGTCACAACAAACCACCAATATTGTGATAACACACTAAACAGATCATTCGTGTCTGTGTCAAGTTCCTTACATGACGCAGCAATGATTAGACGTTGGCTAGCTAGGACAAGTAAATTGTGGTTAGCTACTACAGTACAGCCAGATGGTCATGTTGGGTAGCTAGCAATGGCCACTGTGTCGACTCTGTTTGAAGAACGGCTAGCTAGCTAGCTTCGTGCTACAGCTGGCACGGCCGAGGACACTGCCAAGACACAGTAACTACCCACATGTATGACTCAACACAATATTAAGCACAATGAAATGTTTCACGTTATAGTTCATTTTATAGTGCTGCTTGCATACGTTAGGCAGAGCCATATTTCAGCATAGCAGATACAGTATAAAAATTATCCTATTTCATTTTCAAATAGCAATAATTTGTGTGTAACTAGCTGCCTTGCCACTGCAGTCCCTGAGGCCTTGTGTTCTGAGCTGCAGCAGGAGAAGCAGAGACTGGAGAGTCATGTGGGCAAGCTGAAAGACAGTGTGGATCAGCTGAAAGGAGAGGTGCAGGAGTTAGCCCAGAGTGAGAGGCTGCTGGTGGTGTTCCCGGAGCTCAACCCCCTGCCTCAGGGACCTCCAAAGAGTAGGATCACTTCCCTAAATAGATCAGAGCTTTTTCTGTATGTGGACCACCATGTTGACTTTACTTGTACAACCTGTTTGACATTTGTTTGTTAATGTGGGTTTAGTTACTTATGGTTTTGAATATAAATACCGGTATTACAAGCATAGACCTGGTTACAACTATGTTGACTATGCTAACTGTTCATTTCTATTATCAGAGTCAATATCACTATGAGGTGCCTTTGGTGTCCTCATCAGACTCACTCAGTCATCATGAAAATGTAGCAGAATAATGAAAGTCTGAGGTCTTATTATAAGTGGCCAAACATTTGCACACATATCAGTAGAATGATAAGTCTCTAAAAAAGTGTTTCCTTCATTTTATGAAATTTTTTTCATTGGATGTACGTGATTTTGCACACACTGCTCTGCTAACTACAGTGTGTGTAATAAGTGGTTAAATGATACTAAATCCATTTTTTTTTAACATGGTTTTACTGTCCACAATAAGTTATTTGATAAAACAAGTAATTTTGATCATGTATATTGTATTTTCATAATCATATTGAACATTTTGCATGTGTCCCTGAAATTGCTGTCCACCCTGTCATTATGGGGTAACTGCCCCTTTAAGAAACCCACTGATGTTTTCAGTGACATCACTACGAGCATTTTGTCTTTCTTCAATGAAGGCTGAAGCAGTGTCTAGTTGCAGAGTAAGTATTTACACTTATGTTTCATAATTTTCATCATATTATGTGTGTAGTTGGATGTTGTCAAGCTTAACATGTCCACTCTGTCATAGTGAAATATCAATTGATAGAAAAACCTATCAGAACTTTGAAATATATTTGTAAAACAGTACACAGTCAGCTTGCTAACTGTAGTATGTTGCTAAGTGAAGGTCCACCATGTGCTCATTAAATGCTAACATTAGCCAAAAATGTCCACCCTGTCATTGTCCACCCTGTCAGCAAGCCTTCCATGACAGGGTGGACATGGTTCATGACAGGAAGGACATGTGCATAGTTTAGGCCACATACTGATAATGTTACACATATTACAACAGCTATTACACACATTTTATAACAGTACATGCTATACATCGTAAGAATGGACAATATGGACAATTTTTTTGGCGATATCGGTATCAGCAAACCTAGTTTGATAATGCAAGCCTAGTTTACCGGGACTGCCAATTAAAGTGTGTAAGGGAACATTTTGAATCGTCTTTTTCAAGGAATGAGATCAAAAGGAGCTGAGATAGCAAGGAGATATCGGGAACGTCGTGATGCTGACCCAGACAGAAGAAGAAAGTACCTTGAGAAAGAAAGGGTCAAATGGAAAAAAGACAGAGAGACTGGAAAGAAGAAGGGTGTCAATGAGCTCAGTGAGAGAGAGAAGAGGGCAAAAAGAAAGAAATGGAGAGAGGCAAAAAGTCAAGCCAGAGCCAGAAACAGGGCCAGTGCTTTGCTACAGTCAGAATCAAAGCCTGAGGTACCTGCAATAGCTGCCATAAAAGGCACTATGAGAATCCACCAAGCTATCAGTCTGACACCCGGCCAAATGAAATACAGAGACATTTCATGTCTGTGTAAAAGGGAGGAAGGTGTTTTGGACTGCCCCTGCTTTAACCTTCAAGAGGTCACTCTAGCTAATGTTCCTGTTTCATCTGACAAGTCCCCAGCATGTGGAAAGACACCAGATAATCCTAGGAGACCAGAAATGATTGAGGTAAAGCACATTGGAGAGTGTTGCGTCGTTAATTATGACAATGAAGCATACCCAGGTATCATCATGGATGCAGAAGGGCACAGTGTGAAAGTTAAGTGTATGCAACGCCATGGCATAAACAAGTTCAAATGGCCAAGTCTTCGGGACGACATCTGTTGGTACCATGACTGGCAGGTACTTTGCCTAATACCAGAACCACAGGCTCTGAACAAGCGCTCTGTACAGATTGAAGTGTCTGCATGGAAGTATGTGGAACAGCAACTGCAGAACTGAGCCATGTCTCTGCAGAAAGGGAGAGACTGTTTGGAGATGCGTCCAAGTGATCTTTCTGTAATATTCTGTTTTTTCAAATCAACTGTTCTCCACTTAAAAAACATTTTTCTTCTTGTTCTACAGTTGAATGTTTGACTTTCACTGTGCAGAATGATGTACAGAGTTTAACGCTAGAAGGCCACATTAATGTCTCATTTTGGGCATCTTTATTCAGTGGCTGCATGCAGGTAGAGTGGATCAAAAACAGTCTGTTCAACTTGTAATTTCCCCCTACATGGGAAAAGGCATTTTTTACATCATTTTCTTGCATTGTTCCTTGCATTTATGAGGCCATTCAATGACATTTCACAACGTGTCCACCCTGTCATGCCCAGGGTCCACCCTGTCATGTCACTGTCCACCCTGTTATTTTCATGTTCTATGAGAATAAACAAATTATTTTCACAAGTTAGCAAAATCTTTTGTGTGATTCCTTTATAAACAAATGAGGGCCAAATAGTATTGTTTGAAAGTTTGACCAGATATCTTTTTTGTTAGATTTTATTTAGAAAAGAAAGTGCAACTCTCGCTGATTTTATAGAGAAACAAATAGTTTGCCATAATTTCATTATTATCCAAATACTTTTCCCATAAACTAAAATATATTGTTGAGAAAGTGACTAAATAGTTTTCTGAAAATGTACGTTTTATAATCACTATGTAATTACAATGTATTTATTCTGCTTTGAAATTGTCCATGACAGGGTGGACATATTTTGCTGTTTGCATGTAAATTGTCTGCTTGCAGTTAATTTATAAAAAGTGTGGGAGCTTGACCAATATGCATTTCTAACAACATAACATATACTTAATACAATGAATATGAAGTTCAATGGAAAATCTCAGCTTTTTTGGGGGGAAATGGGGAAGTCTCAAAGGCACCTTATGGTGATATTGACCCATCATGTGAAGTTGCCTGTCACAGCTCTGTGCATTTTCTAAACTTAAACTTGACTCTGTCTCTTTTCTCAGGCACAGGGGACGTGTTGTAGGATATGGAGCAGCAGTTGCAAGCTAACTGTGTTCGGATTAGGGTTCTGGAGCAGGAGAACAGCACCCTGCGCAGCAGCCTGGTGAAACTGAGGGATAGAGCCCAACATGGGGCCTCCAAGGTGGGGTCCAGGGGACAATTCTACTCCTTCAGTGTAAAGTGTTTTGACCGTGGAAACTGATGAAAGGGACAAAGGGGATAATACTTCAATACTGCTGCTGGAGAACTACAGATGTATGATCTTAATTTGATCACTCTTTTGTTGCTGAGAATATTTCTGCTCAGCAGGAAATGCAATCTTGTTGTGTATTCAAGGTTTAAAAAGGCTTCTAAAGGTTGTAATTTACCATTTAATATGTCAGACTTGATTTGTCCTAATTAAAAATGTATCAACCCTTACAAAATTTTTTTTTAATTATAATCCACCTAATAATTCACATTTCCTGTTGCTGCATGATTATTTTCCTGCTGTAGCAAACTGGTTCAAATTAAGATCCTACATCTGTACTCCATGTTTTGATCTATCGACTACACCTTTGGAGCATTATAATGCTGAAAGAGGTTGAGGCTGAAAGAGGCTGTTGTTTGAAGTGTATGTCAGGCTTCTCCATCAGGAGACTGCAGTAAGGCATTGCATTTTGGCTTGTACACATAGTTATTTGTGCATCAGCTGAGGCAGACACAGACAAGTTATAGAGTTCAGGATATTGGCAACATTGAGCTGGCTTGAAGTTGCTATTTAAATGAAAATGAATTTGTATTCATACACAATTAAACTGTGGTATCATGTTTTTTCTTTCTTGAACTGTTGTGTTATTCACTTTGCTACTTTGGATTACAAATGTGTAATTGCGGACTTCTCCCAAATGCATTTAGCAAAATTATCCACAAGGGGATAGTGAAACAGTTTAACCTAGTATGGAAGGCAAAGCAATAATAGACTGAGCATAACGAGCCTATCAAAGCACATTCATTATTTAAACTCATGAATAAAGAATGTGGTCATGCACAAACACACCCTAAAAATAAGTGTCTTAAAATGATCAGTCTAGAAAAGGGAGAGGTAAAAGACAAGCTATGGTGTCATGGTGTGTGTCTGTGTGTTTAGCTAAGTGTGTGGATTTCTAAAGGCTCTACTATTGTGTCACCAACACAATGCCACGAACGCAGACGTGTCCAATGATTTACAGAGTACTCTGACAAGGGACGGGAAAGTTCCCATGGCAACATTGGTGATCAGAGCATGACATGTTGTGTGGGTTCACTCCTGTCCTTACTGTCAGTCCAACCCTTCACCTATTGAGGAGTATACTTGGTGGTAGACCCACCACTTCATTGTGAAGTATGGTTCCCATGGTGTGTTAGGTTGCAATATTTGTGTCCTTTGTTCGTATTTCCTTGCACTAGAAATGCCAAATGACTTTTCTGCAGGGGGATTGTGGTCATGGAGATACCTGTTAAAAGCCCTACAGACCCACAGACTGGATATTGACTAGACCTGAAACTAACAGAATGAGAGAGCTCTTTGTATGCAATTCAAGCCCATACTATTGTTCATGCCTGTTCAAATGGTTCTGCATGAGTTCAGAGGTAGCCCAATAGTAGGTTTCATATTCAGGGATATACCTACAGTTGAAGTCTGAAGTTTACATACACTTAGGCATTTTTCAACCACTCCACAAATTTCTTGTTAACAAACTATATTTTTGGCAAGTCGGTTAGGACATCTACTTTGTGCATGACACAAGTAATTTTTCCAACAATTGTTTACAGACAGATTATTTCACTTATAATTCACTGTATCACAATTCCAGTGGGTCAGAAGTGTACATACACTAAATTGACTGTGTCTTTAAACAGCTTGGAAAATTCCAGAAAATGATGTCATGGCTTTAGAAGCTTCTGATAGGCTAATTGACATCATTTGAGTCAATTGGAGGTGTACCTGTGGATGTATTTCAAGACCTACCTTCAAACTCAGTGCCTCTTTGCTTGACATCATGGGAAAATCAAAAGAAATCAGCCAAGACCTCAGATTTTTTTTTTTAGACCTCCACAAGTCTGGTTCATTCTTGGGAGCAATTTCCAAACGCCTGAAGGTACCAAGTTCATCTGTACAAACAATAGTATGCAAGTATAAACACCATGGGACCACGCAGCCATCATACCGCTCAGGAAGGAGACACGTTCTGTCTCCTAGAGATGAAGGTACTTTGGTGCGAAAAGTGCAAATCAATCCCAGAACAACAGCAAAGGACCTTGTGAAGATGCTGGAGGAAACAGGTACAAAAGTATCTATAGCCACAGTAAAACGAGTCCTATATCGACATAACCTGAAAGGCCGCTCAGCAAGGAAGAAGCCACTGCTCCAAAACCGCCATAAAAAAGCCAGACTACGGTTTGCAACTGCACATGGGGACAAAGATCATACTTTTTGGAGAAATGTCCTCTGGTCTGATGAAACAAAAATAGAACTGTTTAGCCATAATGACCATCACTATGTTTGGAGGAAAAAGGGGGTGCCTTGCAAGCCAAAGAACACCATCCCAACCGTGAAGCACTGGGGTGGCAGCATCATGCTGTGGGGGTGCTTTGCTGCAGGAGGGACTGGTGCACTTCTCAAAATAGATGGTATAATGAGGAAGGAAAATTATGTGGTATAATGAAGCAACATCTCAAGACATGAGTCAGGAAGTTAAAGCTTGGTCGCAAATGGGTCTTCCAAATGGACAATGACCCCAAGCATACTTCCAAAGTTGTGGCAAAATGGCTTAAGGACAACAAAGTCAAGGTATTGGAGTGGCCTTCACAAAGCCCTGACCTTAATAATAATCATAATATGCCATTTAGCAGACGCTTTTATCCAAAGCGACTTACAGTCATGTGTGCATACATTTTTACGTATGGGTGGTCCCTTGGATCGAACCCACTACCCTGGCGTTACAAGCGCCATGCTCTACCAATTGAGCTACAGAGAGAGAGAGAGATATTGTAGATGCATTGGAGTGGGGGAGAGAATGAGGTGAGAGAAGGAGAGATAGAGAGAGAGGGATGGAGACAAGACAGACAAATGTGGGTGGCAGCTATGGCGTTGTTGCATTACCATGCCTAAAAACACAGTGGGAAGAGAGGGAGGGAGGGAACAAAGGAGGGAGAGAGAGAAAGGGAGGAATGAATAAAATAACGGAGAGAGACATCTCAAGTACTGCACCCAACTGATGTCTAACCGTGTGGATGCTTTGTGGTTGCAAGTGTCAAAATGGTTTCTATGACAACATGCGTGACATTTTACATTGCTTGCGCTGCATGTGGAGGTGTTTCTCGTCTGAAAGCTAGCTGACTAGCTTCTCTACTACTGGGTTGGGCTTTCTCTCTGCATTAACAACGAGTGAGGACTAACTAACCAACGGTGTTTCAAGACTTTGACCAAAAACGGAACCCTTTACCATTTCACTACTAACTAAAGAGAGATTGATCACAATGTGAGTTTTTCTCCCATGAATCTTTAGGTGGAGAATAGAGAAGTCTTTCGGATAGGATGACATCATCTCCATGTTGTGTGGTTGGTTGGTCCTGAAGTAGGAAGTGATACGCCACTGGAACCATGGAACCACCAGGACTTCTAGAACTTTACATATTGGAACCAGGGTGACTTGAGAACTTTTCACAATGAAAAAGGACCAGTAGCAATCTGCCTCCCATAGCTCATTGAATCAGTAAACCACCTTGTGGGCAGAGCTGAAAAAGCGTGTGCGAGCAAGGAGGCCTAAAAACCTTACTCAGTTACACCAGCTCTGTCAGGAGGAATGGGCCAAAATTCACCCAATTTATTGTGGAAAGATTGTGGAAGGCTACGTGAAACGTTTGACCCAAGTTAAACAATTTAAAGGCAATGCTACCAAAATACTAATTTAGTGTATGTAAACTTCTGACCCACTGGGAATGTGATTAAATAAATAACAGCTGAAATAAATAATTCTGTCTACTATTATTCTGACATTTCACATTCTTAAAATAAAGTGGTGATCCTAACTGACCTAAGACAGGGAATTGTTACTAGGATTAAATGTCAGGAATTGTGAAAAACAGAGTTTAAATGTATTTGGCTAAGGTGTACAGTTGTGGTCAAAAGTTTTGAGAATGACACAAATACTAATTTTCACAAAGTCAGTTTTGATGATGGCAATTTGTATATACTCCAGAATGTCATGAAGAGTGATCAGATGAATTGCAATTAATTGCAAAGTCCCTCTTTGCCATGAACATGAACTAATCCCCAAAAAAACATTTCCACTGCATTTCTGCCCTGCCACAAAAGGACCAGCTGACATCATGTCAGTGATTCTCTCGTTAACACAGGTGAGATTGTTGACGAGGACAAGGCTGGAGATCACTCTGTCATGCTGATTGAGTTAGAATAACAGACTGGAAGCTTTAAAAGGAGGGTGGTGCTTGAAATCATTGTTCTTCCTCTGTTAACCATGGTTACCTGCAAGGAAACACATGCCGTCATCATTGCTTTGCACAAAAAGGGCTTCACAGGCAAGGATATTGCTGCTAGTAAGATTGCACCTAAATCAACCATTTATCGGATCATCAAGAACTTCAAGGAGAGAGGTTCAATTGTTGTGAAGAAGGCGTCAGGGCGCCCAAGAAAGTCCAGCAAGCGCCAGGATCGTCTCCTAAAGATGATTCAGCTGCGGGATCGGGGCACCACCAGTGCAGAGCTTGCTCAGGAATGGCAGCAGGCAGGTGTGAGTGCACCTGCACGCACAGTGAGGCGAAGACTTTTGGAGGATGGCCTGGTGTCAAGAAGGGCAGCAAAGAAGCCACTTCTCTCCAGGAAAAACATCAGGGACAGACTGATATTCTGCAAAAGGTACAGGGATTGGACTGCTGAGGACTGGGGTAAAGTCATTTTCTCTGATGAATCCCCTTTCTGATTGTTTGGGGCATCCGGAAAACACCTTGTCCGGAGAAGAAAAGGTGAGCACTACCATCAGTCCTGTGTCATGCCTACAGTAAAGCATCCTGAGACCATTCATGTGTGGGGTTGCTTCTCAGCCAAGGGAGTGGGCTCACTCACAATTTTGCCTAAGAACACAGCCATGAATAAAG